ATGCTGGTCTGTATTTTAGTATGCTGGTCTGTATTTTAGTATGCTGGTCTGTGTAGCCTGCTAGTTTTCATAATGTAGCCTGTTCTATTTATAGGGATATTACACAAACAAAATCATTTGATACTCAAGTTCGAAAAATTATTCGACACGCCCTCTGTCTGTTTTTATGCAGAGTGAAGGAGGTAAGTATACCTCTGGCAATGGTAATCTCAGTGTAGCCATTAATGCTTTTATTCCAGCTGGATATTCCTAAGATTGTGACTGGTCCTTTGCTTCAAGTACTGGCCGAACACATGCAGCTGTACATTAATGTCAGGAAGAAAGGTATTGATATGACACATTCCTCTTTCTCTCTTTAAATAATCATGTAATACCGTAGTTCCTCCAAATTCCTCGTTGAAGCTGATTGAGAGTGTTGCCATAAAAACCTTAGGGCCACGCCTACACACAGCATTGAAAGGAAAGACTGGAGAGTTTCGCTACTTTAAGAACCTTACGAGGATTGCCCTCCCTTTTCTTCTCTCGTCAGATAACATTAAAAGCAAGTGGGTATGACTTATAATGATACAGGTGTCCTAATTATTAGTTTTATTAGGGTAATGAAGATCTTTTTGGAGGAATTGTTTGCTTCAAAAATAATGATACCAACCATGGCACATGTGTCAACACCTGTACGTTTTAAATATATACATTCATTTAAACCTCTTTTTCATCTATCAATTTCAACCTCTCTTTAGGATTTTTTAAACATGATCCTAATATTAATCTTTGATAAGGATTCAGTGAGTTGATTGGCCAGCCATAATGTCACTGGTTCTTTAAATTATATGTTACAGAAACTGTGTAGATTGCCTTATCCTTCCTCAAGAAATGTCTTTTTGTTAGAGAAATTCTCACACCAAAACACAGTACAGTTACAAGTAATCTAAATTGCTTTATGTAGCTCTACAGTCAATATTCTCCTCTTTCTCTTTCTACTTTGTCTCTTCTCTCTCTCACTCTCTCTCTCTCTTTTTTTTATATGTAGATTACTTTGAATAATATCACTAGTGATCAGAAGTTGTTATGTTCTTTCATGCAATATCTCAAAATGCAACATGCCATCCACATACTACAGATTTATCTTACATGCCGTAAGTATTAATAACTATTAATAACTATCAATAACTTTATTATTATGATTAGGTGACTTGTTAAAGGATGTGGCTGGAACAAGAATGGGCGCTCTTTTTGCTCAAAATGCTCACATTTATCTTGATCAAGTGAGAGGAATTTAGTCTTCTTCTAGCATTAGCTTTGAATCCTTGTGCATGCATATCTCAACAATCTTATATATGTATGACTGATTCCTTCTCTCTTTGTCTTTAGGTTCACCAGCTGTGTGGTTTGTATTCGACCGCTTCTTCCGATCAAACTATTGTACTGGATCAATCTAAAATAGCCGATATTAAAGATGGTACTAGTAGCAATAATAATGTATTGGTTGACATGTCTGTGTACATCTGTATAGTGCTAAATAGAGATATATCTGATCTGACAAAACTGTCTTTAGTAATTGGGCAAGGTTTGTTAGACAAGCTATTTGTGCTGTCAAGTGAAACACTTTCTGACATTTTCTGTGAATCATTCTGCCAAAGCCAAGAGGTAAAAAAGGACATATTTTGATACTGGATTACTTCTCTCTCTCTCTCAGTACTGTGACTATCTTTACCCAAAGTTAACAGCCGAGACAAGAAAATCATTATTATCCACCGACCAGCACTCACTTAATCGACATTTTGAAAAATGGAGGAACAGGAGAAAGAGAAAAATCAGGCCCTACAGCTCTTCTAACGACTTATCGGAGGCAAGTCTCAATACAGTAAGTAAAGGGCTCTATTTCTGCACTGTATCATGTCACAACAAAATCCGCCTCTAGAACTAGAATAAGTCAATCATAGATATTAGAGGTGGGTGTGATGCGTATTAATTTGAAACCACATTTCGTAGTGTGAACACTATTAATGCCCATTTATGTGCATCACTTTTGCCAGTCTGTGAAAAGCCTTAACAGGATATCCTAGTTGTAGTCTGGTTTGCCAAATTAAGCCATTCATAGTGGCATTGCATCCTACACTTTTTATACTTAAATATGCATCAAAGGCGTTATAAAAGTGGTGAATTCTCTCCTAATCATCTTTGGTGAAATTTGGCCAAAATCCCTGTACTATAGTACAGGGACTTTGGCCCGATTTTTGAGCAATTTTAAAAATTCATAAAAAATTCAAACTTGATTGGAATGAGCTCAAACTTTCTACACAACATAAGAACATGTATATGCATCAGAAAAAGTTATAAAAATGGAGAATTCTCTACTTTTCATTTTTGACAAAATTTGACCAAAATCCCTGTACTATAGTACAGGGACTTTGGCCCAATTATGGAGTAACTTTAAAAATTCATAAAAAATCCAATTTTGATCAGAATCAACTCAAACTTTCTACGCAACATAAGTACATGTATATGCATAAAAAAACATTGTAAAAATGGAGAATTCTCTACTTTTCATTTTTGACAAAATTTGGCCAAAATCCCTGTACTATAGTACAGGGACTTTGGCCCAATTTTTGAGCAACTTAAAAAATTCATAGAAAACTCAAACTTGATCGGAATGAGCTCAAACTTTCTACACAACATAAGTACATGTATATGCATCAGAAAAAGTTATAAAAATGGAGAATTCTCTACTTTTCATTTTTGGTGAAATTTGGCCAAGGGGGTTTAATTTTATTTTTTTATAGACTCCGCCCCTCTCAGTTACAAGGCAGCGTTCATCATCAAATCCACCCACGCCCACTTTGGGTGAGAATGGAGGAGGAGTGGCCATGTCTGATCTGTTGGAGGAGAGCGTCATAGTGTCTTCATGTCTCATTCAAATTGTCGACTCAGAGACGGTCCACACTTCAATCAAACCATACACGGTTTATATTATAGTGTCCAGACAAGAGAGAGGTATGATGTATTATTTTTATTTTATTCATTAATTATCTACTGTATATATTATCCACTTGTTATTTAGATGGAAAAACCTCCACTGTGAAAGTTAGAAGGTAAATCTTCTACATGTATATACATTAATAGTGTCATGTATTTTTGCATGCGAGTTGTGTTCAAGTCTATACAATTTCAATGTCCACAAATACCTTTATCTTATAATTACAGGAGGTACAAGGAATTTGTGGTCCTTGACTCCAGAATAAAGCAATTTTATCGTAAGTTTCTCTTTTCGTTGTCACACAATTTAAATTGCACCTGTTTAGGCAATGTCACTGTTTATTTCCCACCGAAAAGAGCGTTTCATAATTTGGACAAAAACTTTATCGAGTCAAGATCTAAAGAACTCGAAAGTTATTTACAAGTAATTATTATTATTATTAATTGTGTTTTCCTATCTCTTGTTTTATGTTTTTACGTCCTTCCTTTCCTTTAGAGACTTGTCCAGGAACCTGAGATAAGAAACTCCCAATTGTTGCAAAGTTTTCTCTCGGAGACCTCCGACACTACCCTATTCATGCCTGACTCTGTTGGCGATAAAGCAGGTAAGACCAGTCAGTCTGGTTTGCTTTGCTTTTAACGTCAAACTGATGACAGGTAAAATAATAAAGTCTGTCCCTCGGGCTCTTAAGAAAGAACCGAAAGGACAGCACCTTGAGAACCTTTTGGTCGCTATGGACGAAAGTGTTATTATAGCACCCAGAGAACCTTGGTCAGTCGTGCTGTCATAAAATATTGTATTGTAATGTTCTTTTATAGTCCAGAGAAACAGGCAGAAACTGACGAACAGACAGCTGAGAACCAAGTCATTATTACTAAATATCAAAGGGTCAGTGAAAATTCTATTTTTTCTTGGATTTCGTGTATTATGCGTAACTTTAGGATCTTGCCGATGATTTCTCTCCTAAAGGCAACTATAAGAAAATGAAATCAATTTCATCATCGCCAGGTATAATCAATATCTGCATAGTGGACTTGTTAATTATTCACTGTTTATTTTTAGAGCCTAAAAGAATAGTTTTAAACGGAATAATGGACTTATTAGTATTTTTAGGTGAGAATTAAAAATCTAAAAGATGATTGTTCATTTTCTGCTTCTACTCATTTTCAGGTGTCAATGTATATTCAGTATCTCAGTCAAAGCTATCGGCTCTGCTAGCAGTCAAGATATTAGGACAATCAAGCATCGAAGCACTATTTCACGAGTAAGAGAAACGGCCATGATATTATTAAATGTTGACCTTAATTAATTTATCTCAGTCTTCTCTCAAATCGTATTGAACTTTTATGCCAAGAGCCGGAGATGTGTGATCTCATTGAGCGCCTGCAATGTAAGTAGGAGTATATATGCATAACTTGCTACAACTTCAATGCATTATTTCTTCTTTTTTGTACACACACACACACACAGATAGTTTATTCTTTGATGACAGTCCACCAAGGTACGTGGCTTAAATTTGTACAAAAATAATAATTACACTTCATTTCTTTAATTGCTTGTAGGACAGCTGATGAAAAGGAGACGAGAAGGAAGCTGGCATTAGATACAGTATTGAACAGGCCACCAGATCTTCTTGTTCAATTAATAGGGAAAGAATCATTCACTTATAACACGTCACTGCTTATAGAGGGACTACAGTCTCAGACGCTTAACAAGCACCTCTTGTTTTCACTTTTAGATGTTGTAGTTTGTGAAATATTTCCAGAACTAAGGGCACAATAACTTCATCCAAATTAAGTTAAATTGTTTTAGACAGACCTATTGTTGCAATTTTTATTGTTTATTGTTTTTATTCTTTAAAAAAAATTAAAAATTTAGACCTTTTCATCACAGCTAAATTATAATGCATTACAGGATTACAGCAGAAGAAAAATTGATATCAATGACAATAATCAAGAGTACATTATTATTATTATGTACTCTTGCAATAATAATTAATGAATAGTTTATAGTTTAGTTTAAACATACGAATATTCGCAGCTACTCTCCAACTCTACTTCTCTGTATGAGATGTTTGGCTGAACTGGTATAGCAGTTCCTCTGGCATTGTACGACACATTTGGCTTAAGCGGTACAATAGGTTTGATCCTGCTACCTCCAGCACCAATTGTATTTGGTTTAACTGGTAAAACAGGTCTTACAGGTTGCTGGGTAGACGTTGGCTTTTTGTATGCCGTATTTGGCTTAACCGGTATAGCTGGTTTGACACCTCTTGGACTATTTCCAGTTGTAGCATATGAAATATTTGGAAGAACAGGAATTGGTCTGGCAGCTGGTGAATAGGAAACATTACTGCTAAGAGAAACAGGACCTGATGATGACAGACTGCTGTCCTCAGAAATGGATGATGAGTGAGGGATAGGATTTAATAATGGAGGAGCTACAGTTGTGACTGGATTCACATAAGGAGCAGGAGAAGGAACTTGGGTTGGAGCATAGCAATTACTTGCTAGATCGCTGCTCTCTCTTTTACCATTGCTAACACCAGCATTGGGAACTGATGGAGGCAAAGTGCTACCAGTATTCTTAGCTTCTCTTTTATTTCTTAAGACGAAAACCAAGACCAAGAGAGATATGATGAGCAGTGTCAATATTCCACCAATCACACAGGATAATATAATGATGATCATCAGTGACATCCCATCACTTGCCCCATCCGGAATACGTGTAGAAGCTGGCCCAACACTAGAAGAAAGACTCTTGCTGGATGTAGCTACACAAATTGATGCATAATAGCTTGATAGAGTTTATAGTTACATACCTGTTGCCTTTGTTGTTGAAGAAGAAATCGTTACCGTTGAAGTTGGGAGTGCCGTAACTAAGACACAATAAAATAATAATAACAATGTAAATTAGTATTAATTTCATTCCATATTACATTATGTCTTGATATCATTTAAGGACTTATGAATGCACTCACCAAAACGAGCAGATAGCAACGGGTAATGGTCTGAGCAAGTAGCTTTCAAATTAGCCTCATTGACAATAGCTCCTTCTTGTTGAAAATGCAGATTATCAGGACCACCAAATTCATTATACAGCAACTCGCTCCTAGTCACTGATGGCTGATATATGCCAACAATATCGTCTTTCATGACTTGAAGTGGAGGGCGGATTGTCGTCCTGGAAAGTTGTCTAATGATGATGTTAGAGTCTGAACGAATAGAGACGGAAATAGGAGTGGAGTTGATGAGCCTGTAACCTCTTCCTCCATCACCAAGGTTGTCTTGTATAATAGGTCTCCATATTTGTACTTGGACAGAGTCACTAATATTGCTTGGCTGTTGAGAAACAAGCCCATGGAACCAGTGGGTTATGTACCCATCACACTTGAAGACTATATTTGGAAATATTATGCTGTGATTGCCTAGTGTGATGGTATTGCCTATGCGAGTGTTTTTTACTTTATACAAATCTGGCACATTCTGGAGACACTCCACACCTATTGAAATGAGATTAAAAGGACTATGAACAAGTCATGATTAGAGCGAAATGAAAAGGTGGGATGTGGGCAGGTGTGATAGGCTCTTTTAACTTAATTAATACTTAGAGTATGCGGTGCCAAGCCCTAACAACAGATTCCATACAAGACCTGGCAGGCATGCTTGTGCTAGCATATTAAGATTCGTTGATAACTTCAAAAGCTCAATGGGCACAGATCTGACCGCTTTTGTGTAAATAAAGAAGCAGACAAAAACATGCATGTCATTACCTTTACATCATACTTGTAATATATACATTTCTCATGAAAAATACCCCAAAATAAATGTCACATACACACAAACATTATTGTACCCATATGACTGCAACATCATGAAAATAGTAGCTTACTTGTTACTGGTGACATTAATAGCAAATCACTGTTTCTGGGTTGAACAATCCTAGTGTCGGTAATATCAATCTTCTGACTGACTGGATCGCCAGATTTAAGAGGACAGGTATAAGAGATGGGAGCATCAGAAACGCTGCTATTATATGCAACCTGAAAACCATCATCTTCAGAAGGCTGGTACATACCAAGGACGTTGTTCTCGTAAAACGAGAGTGGTGTTTCAAACTCGTAATAAAAATACCCATGCCTTGAAATCCTAACTATTTCAATAGGAGTAGCAGAGACCAAGTCAAAAGTGGAATTGCTTCCTTTTGCTGGTTCCCATATCAGGAGTTGTGGATAGTCACCACAGCATCCATTTATCCTGCCTGATAGGTATATGCCTTTTATAGTGCCGTTGCACGTGAATGACATCTCGGGCATAATTCTAAGTTCACTGTCCAGGAGTCTAATTTGATCATTGACTGGGGAACTTCTTAAACGAGACCTTATTGCATTAAAAGTCAAAAACCCATAGCTACATGATGAGCTGACAATGTCTATCAATAGAGAAGTATTGATAGAGACCATAGAGATTGAATTTTGACTCACTTATCAGTAGCAGTAGTAGAAATAGCAGTATCCAACTAATAGTTGAAGCAAAGTAAGATTTGTACATGTCTAGATCTGAAGACAATAATAGCCAAATGATCCTTTTTTTGCTCTGGGCCTGTTTATACACTGATTCTTGTCACAATATCTCTCAGTATCTACGTTTGATTATAAACAACACAAACCTTATAAGAGCTTCCAATTACACCCACATATGACTGCCCGCCAATAGTAAACTAAATTCTACCATAACTGGTGCCACAGAGCAGCCAATGATAACAAGTGACTCTGTCATGGCAATATTGACTCTATTGTTCCAACAATAGGCTGTGTCCATGCCTAATATGCAGGCAACAGATTACTAGTCGACTATTAGGGGCAGAGTGCATGATCAGACAGTCTGAGTCAGTAGACCTTTCCCACACCACTGTATAGTGTGTGTATCTAGCAATGAATAGCTGCCATGTTGTAAGATAGATGTACATCAGAGTTTAATGATGGGCAGAATGTAACAATTTTCTTTATTACAAGCAAAGACCAAATTGCAGTGCAGTAAGACTTTTCGTGTGAATCAGAACCATAGCAATTTTTATAGATATTAGAGTGAATTTCAATATACTCTATTATCTATGAAAATTAGCTTTTGGCCCATGGCATATATCTATCCGACTTGTTAATGATAATTCATTGATGAGCTGTGGAAAGGTCTATAGATTGAATATGAACAATAATAATAATGATAATCAAAATACATTGTATGCTGGAATACTAAAGAATTATGATTCAATAGTGAATTAAGTTGCACATACAGTAGACAGAGAGAAAGAGACGAGATTAAATATCTGCTTATCGCTTTCTTGTAAATTTATTAGCATTGTTAGGGCATTGGACTGCAGTGACTGGTCTCCCTGGACTTCCTAAATGTACACATGCAAGAAAAAAATGATTTGCTGTTTCCTAACTCTCACTTTTTGTTGCTGCTACAGCAGTAACTGAACTAACTGTACCACTTACAGTATCATCATTATGCTGACTGATAGGGAGACAGAAATGAGAAGTAAAAGTTATGAAAGACATAATTATGATCTTTTTCTTACATCAACAAAGCCTCATCACACTCCATATTAAGATGGACTAAATGAGGTGCTATTGGAGGAGATACAGTTGGCAGTATGCCACTAGATGGAGAAGGAGCAATCATCATTTGACCGGTGTGTATTAATAAATCATCTACTAATATCTGCAGCAGAAAAGATCATTCTTTGCTTAATAAAAGTATACCAGCTCTTACCGAAAACTCTTTGACTCCTCTTGAAGGAGTTTTACCGTAATTCCACATAGCAATGCTTGAGAGTGTTTGGGGTTTATCAAAAATAATATAAACAGTGTTGTATATTCCAGGTAATATTGGTGAGAGCCACATGTGTTGAGGTTCGTGCGAATCTATGACTCCATCAATCAGCTTGTCAGGTGTTCTGACATCTCTTATACTGTTGGGTGGTTGCAATACATTGACACTATCAGGATAAGCTGCTATATCTGAAAGAGAAGGAGTGTTGTGTGTGCATGTGCTATAAGCATGCAAGAATTACTTACTTGATGGCAAAAGTGGTATTGTCTTATTATCTTGGTCTTTGATCTCAACACCAGTTAATCCAATGTAATACTGATCACCCCATGTACTCAATAGCTGAATCTGATACACAACTGTGCATAAAAATTAACAAAATAAGTACACAACAATAAATAAATAAATAAATAATAGTTTTCTTACATCCACAGGGCAGGTTGGTTGAGATGTGGGAGGGTCTGTCGTCGTGTGGGTGGAGCATAAACTTGAGCAGCTGTCCATAATCATAATGGTCATTAGAAGGACCTGTTGTGTCAACATTAGTATGAAACCTTTCTCTTCCCCTCTCTCCTCTCTCTCTCTCTAACCTTTCCTCAACAAGAACCCATTCAAAGGTGATACTAGTCTTTCATTTACATGTGCTCTTAGTAACTTGACCTATTGAAAAAGCAAAAAACACTTGTGAACAAATTAAGTTTGATGATTGCAAATTTTAGAGCTACATGTACATGAAATATAATTATGTACATTATAAATCAATTATTCATTAATAAAATGAGACTTACTCCAGTTGACATCTCCTCGTTATAATTCCAAATGATGATTCCTCCTAACTTCAAATCTTCCTTTAGTTCTATTTTTAAGTCAATCCCACTTCCTGAGTATCCTGCCGACCACATGTACTCTGAATCAGTTGTCATGGTCACACCATTCAAGAGATTGGTCAAGGAACTGTTGTCATTATTCGTTAGTGTGTGGGCGGACTCGGCGGAGTCAGAGAGTGAGAGTTGTGAGGGTGAGAGTGAGATTGGGGAGAGATCAGAATCAAGCAACTGAATTTGAGTCAATCCAATCCTATCCTTGTTACCCCAATTGGACAAGAGTGTCAATAAAATGCCTAGAAAAGCAGTAATAAATAAAATCTTTCTGGAAGTAAAATTGCTCAAAAATCTGGCAAAAGACCCTGTACTATAGTACAGGGCAATTCATCAAAAATGGCAAGGAAAGAATTCTCCATTTTAATAATTTTTTTCGATGCATATACATGTACATGTCCTTATGTTGCGTAGAAAGTTTGAGCTCATTCTGATCAAGTTTAGATTTTTTATGAATTTTTAAAGTTGCTCCAAAATCAGGCCAAAGTCCCTGTACTATAGTACAGTGACTTTGGCCAAATTTCACCAAAAATGAAAAGTAGAGAATTCTCCAATTTTATAACTTTTCTGATGCATATACATGTCCTTATGTTGCATAGAAAGTTTGAGCTCATTCCAATCAAGTTTAGATTTTTTACGAATTTTTAAAGTTGCTCCAAAATCAGGCCAAAGTCCCTGTACTATAGTACACAAATTTCGCCAAAAATGAAAAGTAGAAAATTCTCCATTTTTATAACTTTTTCTGATGCATATACATGTACTTATGTTGCGTAGAAAGTTTGAGCTCATTCTGATCAAGTTTAGATTTTTTACGAATTTTTAAAGTTGCTCCAAAATCGGGTTGAAGTCCCTGTACTATAGTACAGGGACTTTGGCCAAATTTCACCAAAAATGAAAAGTTGAGAATTCTCTATTTTTATAAATTTTTCTGATACATATACATGTACTTATGTTGTGTAGAAAGTTTGAGCTCATTCCAATCAAGTTTAACTTTTTTACGAATTTTTTAACGTTGCTCCAAAATCAGGCCAAAGTCTCTGTACAGGACATTGTATCAAAAATGACTCGTGTTGTGTAAATTTAGCTGAGTCCAATCAAAATTGAATTAACTGTACATTATATGCCTGCACATAATTTCATGATTTACTATTTCCAATTATTTCATTCCAGTTCCCTGTACAAATATCATCAAGTAAAGGAGACATCAGTACATTATCATTGACAGCAGCTGGATCAGTCTCTGGTCTTCCCTCCAAACAATCATTCTACAAAGTAAAGAGGTCAAAGAGAGGGCAGACATATACTTAAGTACATGTTGACTAGTTGATGTCAAAGGTCTGCTATATGAAGCAGTGTTCTCCTCATTGCTTTCTCCTTCTCCTATTTTCTCTCTTTTAATGGATTCCCTGCTAATGCAGTTTTTGAGATAAATAGAATCATTTGAAGCAATTAACGCCAAGACATCCTCATCAACTGTGAATAATATAGTCTAGAGAGAGAAAGAGGAGGTAACATATCAATTAGATTTCATTCATACTTCTGAATTATTCTCAGCTCCTCCTATATCACCACCAGTGGATCTGATAAGGAAGGAATAATTATAAATGTACATGTAAGTTTATAAGCAGCTGTCAAACCTTTTAATTTCTCCTTCGAAAATTTTCAGCTCGTCCAAATAAATTTCAATGTCCCTCACACCTCTGTAAGAATGAATCCTCGACTTGTTGTAATTCTGAGAGAAGAGATACAACATGTATGCATCAATAAATATTGTGTGTGTGTACCCATAGTCTGATCATTGCAATGGTAACTGGTTCTTTAAAAAGTATCCTAATTTGATGGTCCTTATAAGGAAGATATGGAGCTAACCACATGTGAAGATCATCCCTGCAATAATTCATCATCATTATCATCATCATCACTATCATTATTATTATTATTATTATTGTTATTATTGTTATTATTATTATTATTATTATTATTATTACCGTGTATCATTAATGCCATCCAGTAGATTACTAGCAATTCTCGGATCATCGTTATATTCTGATAATACGTTAATGTCTGGAGGAGATGCTGTTATCTGAAAGAGAAAGAAAGCAATACAGAATGATAATATTATATCCTGGTTATGAGTGGCATAATGAAGTAGTTTTCATCACTTACATCTTGTGTAGGAGGTATATTCCCTCTCTCATTGAATATCTCTATACCAGTCAGACCAACGTAATACCTATCGCCCCATGTACTATTGATAAAGAGTGTCAACTGGCTACCGGTGGGTAACACTGGTATATTAAACTGGTCACTGGTCACTGGAGGAGGTGGGAAGGAGAGGGGAGTGTCTTTTGGCTCATTAGCGTCTGTCTCTCTGTGTTTCATAAGGAATTCCTGCAAGATATCATCTATTGGTGAGATAAGTGTTAAGATATCAATGATTTCATTGATATTTTAGATTATGATACCTTGATCGCTTGATGCCATGTCATTCCAGTGTCGTCTCCTATCAAATCTTTGAATCGATTCCCTCAATTCGCTGATATTAAATTGATCACTTGATCTCAACTGATCACTTGATCTCAACTGATCACTTGATCTCAACTGATCGCTTGATCTCAACTGATCGCTTGATCTTAACTCATCCTGTAATGTCAAATCGTCACTTTCAATGCAAGGTGGGTGTGGTGGGTGTGATATAAACGTTAATGAAGGAGAGCTCTCGGTTTCTTCAGCTGATACCACCCACTGGATACCATCGCCACACTGTATCTGACGACGCCCTTTACTCAACGTCTAAAATAATACATGTACATGTAAGTTAGCTTAAGTAACAGTTACTGTGTGTGTACATATGCGACTTATGGAATGATAAACTAATGACAGGTGGTATATTGTATACAGCAAAGACTTACAGCTGTTGCTAGTCTTGGAGCAGGTGGCGCAGGGATATTTGAATCAAGGAATGTAGGTAGACTTGTTGTTTCACTTTCATGATTGGCAGGTGGTGAGTTTCTCCTGTTTGATTCATCCTTACTTTCTTTATCTGGTCTGTGTTGGGACACCATCAGGGACGAGGGTTTAGAGGAGAAGAGAGAATCAAGAGCCACTGAATGAGGAGGAGGAGGCTCTAAAATAAATAAATGAAATTAACAATAAAAATAAACAAACAAATAATAGTAGTAGTAGCAATTAAGCAACAGGTGTATTATAAAATACATATACTGTACCTTTATTAGTACTAATGTCCCCCAGGTCAAAACTATGCAAGCTCTTAGCTGATCTAGTATTTCTTTTTCTCTCATCACTACTGCATGTATCATTCATATTGTTATTGCTCCTGCTAGTTGATTGGTCTGATCGTGGTCTAGAGGTTTCATCAGCTAATAATCCTTTTCTTTTTAATAACAAAGCTAATGACAATGAATGATGTGGCACACTCTCATCGGGGAATGCTCTTTGGAGGAGTGTAGAGAAATTAGGAGGAGAGAGAGGAGGATGCGAAGATGAAGGAGGGGAGAGAGGAGGATGGGGAGATAAAGGAGGAGAGAGAGGAGGATGGGGAGGTGAAGGAGGAGAGAGAGAAGTTAGATTTTGATTTGAAGGTACATCACAATGATCAGAGAATGATTCCTGTTGATCAGAGAATGATTCCTGTTGATCAGTGAGTGAATCCTGTTGATCAAAGTTTGACTCTTTTTGAACAGAACACGAATCGATATTATGCTTAAAATGATGAGATAATGATTCTTTATGATACTGAACTGATTCCACGTCTTGCTGTGAATTCTTATCTTTAAACAATGATGCTACACTCAGTCTTTCTTGACCATTGTCTGCCGCTTCATTTAAACTATCGTCTACTCTATCTTCATTTCTTGAAGTAGCCTTGCGAGAGAGAGCACTAAGTGTCCGGGTTACTGCTACTAAACAAAAAATAAAACAATATATACTATACCACGTACTATTGGAGTTTTGAGATGAATGAAAATATAGTAAAGATGGTGACTGAGTATTAGCTGCTGTTTCAGAGCTCTCCTCCTCTTCTTCAATACTGTCAGATTCTATCATCTAAAGAGAGAGAGAGAGAGAGAGAGAGAGGGAGGGAGAGAGAGAGAGAGGGAGAGAGAGAGAGAGAGATCATAAGAAAGGTCATGAGTGACATATCTAAATACTTCTTCAATGTCTTCTTTAGTAGTTTCACTCTCAAAATCATCATCATCATCATAATCCTCTGATACTACAGCTAAGAGAAAATTCATTATTGCTACATACACTGTACATGTAATATGTATCGTTTACAGGAGGAAGGAACGTCAATAGTGATAGGATCTCCGCTTTCAGTTCTGACGGCAATTGAGTCTTGACCCCACCCTCTTCTACCTGATTGACTCCTAATGATTTATTCTAATTAATAATTATAATGGATGACACACCCACTTTCTTAATAAATCCAGATCCGGAGTCGGTTCTCTTCTCTTCTTTGTGTCTATTAGATTATGCAATGGAGGGGGAAGAGGGCAAGAGGGACTTACCGGCTGTTTTAGTGTCTCTTTTCTTGAGATTTTGAGAAGAAGATGAATGCTCGCCATTAATGTATACAGAAAAACCTGCCTCTCTCTTCTCTAGGCAAACCTGCTCTGGATTCTTCTGTCGTAGATGTTTGAGTTTTCTTTTAAAAAAGGAAAATTATTAAGTACCAACAAAATGAAATACTTATATATACACATACCTATTTCTATCACTAAGTTTCATCAGATACAGGTCGTAATCATCAGGTATTGCGTATAATCCACTGCCAGCAGACACTGCTTGATTCTATGATGAGGTCTATTTATGCATACGGGATATATAAGATACCTTTCTGTCTGATTTTTTACTTTCTCCAGTACTTCTCATCATCTTGTTTTGCATTTGCCAGCTCAGCAAATCGCAATCACCTTGTCAACTGGCCACGCCTACTAACAATTTACCGCCAAATCTAACTATTGAGCATGCGCATAAGTCTTGTCTGCAAATTTTTAAAATAATTTTTTAATTCAAAAAACATAAGTCAAAGTGGGTCTCAAACACACGCAGAATAGAGAGAAAGAGAGAGGGAGCAAGAGAGAAGGGAAGGGGAGAAAAGACTATATTAATAGTCCACAATAATAATCTAATAACTGAAAGAAAATACACGTAACTACATGTACATCCATGAATTATAATAATAAAATCAAGACAAGTTTCTTCCTAAGCAGCGACCAGCTCCTACTTAGGTGCTGTCGACCCATGGACTCTGAGCCTGTAGACACAGGTGTACGATGGATTGCCATAGTTAGATTCAAACTCAAACTTTACAAATCTATACGGCTCCTCCAAGCCTCCCTATAATAATGAAGTAATAATGTGCTGATCACCAGAATAACATTATGCATAAGTACATGTACTTGAAATAAAGTTATGACCAACTTACAACTGAGTATGACTGTATGGGGTTGTCACACTTAAGCTCGTAAGTAAAACTACCTAATAAAGCTGAGTTCTCTTCATCGGCTGAGTTCTGAGCCTAAAGTTTATGATTAAAAAAAAGACATCAAAATCATCAAGGAAGAGGATAAGACATACATAAACTTTGAAATTTTTAGGTGCACTGGCTGCCGTCCCATGTGGCGAAAGAGCTTTTGGAACATGTTGCAATGTAATGGAGTCAATAATTATATTGTGGCTAAGCTAAAGAGAGAGAGAGAGAGAGAGAAAATTAATGATAAACACACACACACACACGAACTGATGAACATGTACATGTACATATTAACTTACCTTGATAACAGTAAATCCTTTCTGGCCAGTAAAGCACCAGCAATCACCAGGATAGACACTAGGCTAAACAGATCAATAGTAACTAGTAAGTATGTACATGTACATCCACGCATTACCTGTATGACTGCATCAGGCGACAGTCTTGACACCGGAATAGGCAGTGATATCCCAAGTAATGTAACCCGACTCCTCGAGAGATCATAAGTATCAGAATGACCCACCACTTTGCCACCAGCATTCTCTAAAGCATAATCGAACCTCTCTATCTGGTCTGCACTGTATCGGAGTAACTCTCTCTTCACTATACTCAATACAAGATCCTCGTTGACATCAACTGGTCGAGTATTAGGAGACGGAGAAGGAGCTAAAGAAATCGTAACTTGTCATAAACACTTGGGGGAGTGGACATACTTGCTGTGACAGTAACTGTAGCTTGATTCTGAACTAGACTATCTAACAGGTCCATTGAATCGGAAAGAGCCTAAAAGATTACAATACAAATTATAATACATGTACATTGTACAATGTACAGTGGCCTACATGCATGACACAAGTAAATGTACATATATTATGCTACTATGTTGCAAATTAGACTGAATTAACACAAGGATTGTTGTTAACTCAAGGCATATTATTATAATAAATTAATACTTTCTCCGTTAATTACTTGTAACTTGTCATTGATCTTTTTCGTGTTCTCTTTGCCAAGAATTTCGTTAGCCTTGAGTGACGTCAAATCATTAGACAACTCAGTAAACTAGAATGACACTATACTAATGATGGGCTTTAATTGGAATAGATTACCTTTCCACTAAATCTGTCCGAAAGTGTTCCAGAATTGGTTTCAATCTGAGTAAGCTGAGCTTTAAAAGTTGGCAACACCTTGAGCTGCTCTTTCAACTACAAAAAGATAATTGTTATATCTAACTTTCTACACAACATGAAACCATGTATACATGTACAGCATAACTAGACACAATAGGGCTAGTTATGTCAAGCATAAAAAGTTATCAATGCGTACCTCATCAATTTCAGTTGATTGTCTATTGTTATGGCTATCAATTAGTTTCAGGATCTCTTTATATTTCCGCTCGATCACATCTTGTGCAATCTCTCTCACACGCGCTTCACTCAATCCATCCCCACTTGGTTTCTTTTGTAATTCAAGCGTCAATCTATCAATGGCGGCTTGCCTGTCGGCTTTTGAGGTCTGCAATTCAGCGGAGAGCTGTATACGTGTATGTGTATGCACAGGGAAGGAGGAATAATACATACTACATGTACTTTATTCTGTTTGGGTTACCTGTTGAAGGTCAGTCTTAAGCTGATTAATAAGTACATCAGTTCTCTTCCTTTCTATGTCTTTGATTGACTCTAACTTGGTATCAACTGCAGCTTCCAATTTATTCAATTCCTAAACAGAGAGAGAGAGAGAGAGAGAGAGAGAGAGAGAGAGAGTGGATCATTAAGTCATATTGTACATCTATTGAAGTACATGTAAACAAAGACAGAAAATGAAATAGTGCTAAAGTGCATACTGCACCTTATTAACACTCAAACTGTTAAAGGTGTCAGTAAGAGAGAGAACATCAGAACTACTCTTTACAGAAACTTCTTCAACTCTAATCCTCAGTGCCTCGATTTGACTCTTAATATTGGAGAGTTCCTTCTCAGAAATAGACGAAGGAGGAGGAGAAGGAGGAGAAGGGGGAGAAGGGAGAGAGGGAGGAGAAGGGGGAGAGGGAGGAGCAGGAGGTGGAGAGGGGACAACTGTAGTAGTGATCGTGGAGAATGAAGTTTCTGTTGTTGCAGTAACAGGAGGAGGGGGAGGAGGAGGAGGGAGGGAGGGAGCAGCTGCTGGCAGATGGGGGACTAGAAAAATTTAAACAGTCATGTATATGTTAGCTCGGCAGTGTACGCATATCAATCAAAGGCGTGGCATTACTGACGTACATGTACAGTACATGCAATTTTAGTAATTATTATAGTGGTAGCTTACCAATTAGACACAGACAGACAATAAAGAAAGCCAAAAAGAGAAGAACAAAACCAAACCTTTGCCTCTAGAGGAATAAATAATAATAATAAATACATTATTGCATATAAGTAACAGGCTCACCCGTCCATTTGGGCCATTAAAAATTTGTCCTAACCTACAAAAAATAAAGAAAAAAGAGTGACACAGGGTCAGTGTAGAATTGTACTTGTTCAATAATGTAATATCACAGCAGAAGACAGTGTTTGACAACAAATAGATTAAAGATCCGATTCTATACACAAAACGAATAAATAAAGATAGAAGACTTGTTAGGAAAGATGCGCCTACAAAAAAAAGAAAAGGTTTTGTAACAATTAGGACATAAAAACAGATTACAAGTAGCAATTAATTACCAGCTGCATCTGCTTGTTTCCTAGGAGTCAATGTCCTCTCTTTGTAATGTCTATTGTATTCCCTTGGGGATCGAACCACGTCACCATCTTCTAATAATAAAAAGTATCAATCATTCACAAGTAACATAAAAATAATGGTACATTTCACAAGTGAAGAATGGAGTAATGGACATACACGTACCTTTTGCGATAAAGGTCTCTTCATCATCGCTAACATCTAATCCTAAAAAAACAAAAATACAATATCTAATAATAATTTATCACGGCTACATACATCTAAAAATATAACAAGTATGTAGGAATTTTTGAAGCATGCTCGTGTTAATAATGATATAGGAACTACTAGGTGCATTAGTAAGTCTAGTAATTATACTATAGGAACTAAAAAGAGACAACACGAACCATATACACATTACATGCGTTCACATTATGCACACAATACAAATAAATACATGTCATTCATAGTAGGAGATTAGATCAATGAGTGTTATTGTGTCCATGAACATGTAATGCAATTAAGTATATGTACATGCAATACCATAAAGTCTATTATTAGGGCTACTAGTAACTGGAATGACATCATCAGATAATACAAAGGCTCTTCCAGGCTGAGGCTGATAGCCATGATCTAACGAGGCGAGAGAGAGAATAAAATAATAATAATTATTATTATTTTAAAAGTTAAACGTACATGTGGAAGAATAAGTATGATCATGTTGTACACTGGTTTCTGTAGTAGTTGTTGAATCAAGGGTAGTATCATTATCAAAGGTACTAGGGACGCTCTGTCCACTCTCATCAAGCACGCTGGTATCGCTCCGATACGAAATAAGACTCGGACGTGTAGCGACTAGCAGTGGGTATCCACCCCCACCAGGCCTGGGTAGTCCTTGTCCATGCTTTTTGTTAATTCTGGGACTTCTACGAGGAACGAAATCATCTTGTTGAATGTCGTTCAAACGCTTGTTAGTACTATATTAAAGAGTAGAAAAGAGGGAGAGAGAGAATAGCATAAATTAATATATACATACATAATGATTATATTTTCAGGTCCATATAAACATATTTTAAAGTTTGCCAAAACATAAAGGATTAAACATACCTCTTTCTTGGTCTTCTGGCAGCACTAGCCATTATGAATTATCTATGAAAGGGTAGGGGAAAGGAAATAAAAGGGAAGTCCAATATGAAGAAGACCAAGTACCAGAAGGCATGTGCGCGTGGTCACGTGATGGAAACCAATTTTCAGATGACAAAACAGTCACGTGATGTGGGCTCATTTTTTCCTAATAAAACTTTTTATTGACTCAATCCTTTGTATTCCTTTAAAAGTATTAATGGTATAATATCTTTCACGATATTGCATATGTTTAGAGTATCTGTAATTTTTCTAGGCTTTGCTTTTGGGGAAAATGCAGGCTCATTTTGATAAAAACGTCACATAGTGATGCAAAGTGTCACGTGAGCTCTCACGTGACCTTTACCTCTACTAGTAAATTCGCTTACTTAGTTAGTGGAGAACCTGTTCCTTTGAATAAATCTCGTACTGTGTCTGTTTGTGTGCATTAACTCTTAGTAGTCGAACGTTCGGTGAAGGCCAGAGGGAGAGGGGATGGAAGCTGTTGGAATGTACGATTTTCAAGCAACCAGTGAAGACGAACTATCATTTGGTAAAGGCCAGATCGTGAAAGTAAGTTTATTAAGCCTTAACCTACTCTTTCCCCATCAGATGTCTTCAGGTTTATATTAGTTGATAGACTGGATGGGACTTTATTGTATCTATAACATCATTACATGTACATGTACACATGTATGTCTCCCATTATTCATTCATAAGTACATGTACGTGACATGTTTTTTTAATTTTGTGTCACTTACTCCCACGCACGCACTGACCTACATGTATATGTACAAATACTTACACAATCTAATGACTAGTATGGAATGTATACATATGCCTACACATGTCACTTTTGTGTGATTCTTCTTGTTAAGTTGTATGTGCTATGTCGCTGCATTATTTATCATATTATTATTATTATTATTATTATTATTATTGTTTGTTATTATTATTTATTTATTATTATTGGCTTTCAATCTATCAATAGACGTACTATATACTCTCTCTCCCTCTCTCCTCTCTAAACTAACGTCACTCCTAAACTCTACCCTGTATTTTAAACTAACAGTATATTGTTTATAAACCCCGTCCTATTCTTTTATACACAATTACACTTGTGTTTTTATTGCTTGTACATTGTATGCGTTCTTTCTTTTCATTATTATTATTGTCATATTATTATTATTATTATCATTATTATTATTATTATATTAAGTCATTACTGCCTTATTGATTACTACACTAAGAGTTCATTCACAATTACATCATTTACTAGTAATTTCATGTAACCTGTCAATGCAATAGATCTGATGTAGGGGCTCATTTTAAGAGATTTTATTGCACTGCATGCACAAAATTATGCTGGGGAAAAGCATAGCAATTTCTTAATGCAGAAAGCTGGATTTTCATTGTGTCAACCTTTTTAGGTTTTGTGTGTGAAAAAAATACAGTCATTTTGATTATGTGAAAAGAATTTGCCATTTACTGCGTGTGTTCTTTATATTTTTGTTTATTTTTAATTTTCATTTTTTGGAGCATGGCGAACGAAAAGAAAGTGCTCTGGCCGAATGAAAGAAACCTGCTATACAAGACTGGACTACTGGTCGTGCTTGCATGTACACAGCTGTACAGGCCGGCTTACATGTATATGCACCATGTTGACGTATTGTTGTCATAGCTAACTTTTGTTGTAGCTTTAGTGTTTGTAATAATCCCATTGATTGATGATATATACGCATGTGAAGTTGTGTACAAATCCATTCATGTATACAAGGGAGATAACTGTAATCAGTTTCCTCTTTATTGAACAAATTGTTAATGTCATTCAAGGCTACTAGTATATCTTGAAATCTCTATTCATCTTGTATCATAAATGTATTCTATTCACATACGTATGTACATGTACATACATATGTATCTCTCCTATCATTGTGACATGTACATATACATTTGCATTGTGATTATACTTACATTTTAATACTTTATGCCATATTTGATTATTTGTTTGAGTAATCAGTTGATTCACATTGTGATCACAGTCCAATGATGACTGTGATAAAGGAAGTATTCAGTTACTCTCCTGTCTGTAGTGTAGTGTGTATAATAATGAAAGGTTGTCTTTGTGGGTGTTTTCTCATAGGAAGCCTAATTAATCAGTTGTGAATACAATGTGTGTGTCTCTGTCCCTTTCTCTTTTCTTGTGTCTGCCCCCTCCAACTTAGCTCCTTTATCATGTGGTGTTTGCTTCAGAATCATTATTGTTACTAAATGTTACCAAATATGGTTGTTTGTTTACGATTTGCTACTTTGCTCTCTTGCCAGGAATTCTTCCCATCCTTCATTATTGAAATTATTTTTATTCTGTTTTGTCAGATATTAAGTACTGATGAAGACCCCAATTGGTACAAAGCCGAGAAGGACGGCAGAGAAGGGCTGATACCAAAGAATTATGTTCAGTTAAATACTGTCGAGTAAGCTCTTATAAGTATAATTTTTTGACCACATTCTCTCCTCTCTCTCTCTCTCCAGCTGGTATCAAGGGAAAATGTCAAGAGCTAAAGCAGAGGACTTGTTAAAAAATCAAAAGTTTGACGGAGCGTTTCTAGTTCGTGATAGTGAAAGTTCCCCTGGAGATTTCTCTTTATCTGTCAAGTGAGAGTTGACTTTATTTTTAAATTTGTTATTGTAATTTTGTATCATCAGGTTTCAAGATTCAGTTCAACACTTTAAGGTTCTCAGAGACGGAGCTGGCAAGTACTTCCTGTGGCTTGTCAAGTTCAGTTCGCTAAACGAGATGATCAAGTATCACAAGACGTCCTCTGTCAGTCGTGGACAGAAAATCTTCCTAAGAGAACCAGAAACCGTACGTACAGCGTACATGTGTACTAAATGTATTTCTCCTTTTCTTTTTGCTTGCTCTTTCATTTTTCTTCTATTCATCCATTCATTCTTGTATTCTTATTTTGTTCTCTCTCTCTCACTCTCTCTCTCTCTCTCTCTCTCCTCTCGTCTCCTTAAGGTAATTGCAAAGTTTGATTTCCAACCACAAGAGCAAGGAGAGCTTGGCCTGACAAAAGGCGATGAGGTAGTAGTCCTTGATAAATCTGATGCCAACTGGTGGAAAGGTCGGAACAAGAGAACCAACGAAGAAGGATTATTCCCTGTCCCCTATGTTGCTGTAAAGGACTCTTGAGGAAACTTATCTAGTCAACAATAATTATCTTTAATTTATCATTATTATTATTATTATTATTATTATTATTATTATTATAAGAATGCTTTCATAGTTTTCAACTGTTGTCCTACTTCTTGTTGTTGTTGTCATTAATAATTTTATTTTGTTTCTTGTTGTTTTTTTGTTTGTTTGTAATAATGTGGATTCATGACTTATTTTTCTTTATACAAAATTATTTTTTCTGCTTAGTTCCTTCCCTCGACAAAATTTTGACTTAATAGTTGCACACGTGTCACCACGTGTTTTGATTAAGTAGGCGTGTCCTTATTGAATTGAACGTGGACTAGTCCTTCATGGAGTCCCGGATCGAGAGTTTGTGGGAGAGTCTTCACTCTTCTTCTCCCCAGCGTTACTCTTATGCAACTGAAGTAGCTTCAGATTTGTACTCTCTTTGTGTTGAGCAAATAACAGAGTCTGAGTTAGGTATGGGAATTGATTGTAAAAGGAATTAATTAGAACTTATATATGTATACAGCCACCATTGATATTAGGAGGCCAAAAATGAAAAGTAGAGAATTCTTCATTTTTATATTTTTTCTGATGCTTTTGCATGTACTTATGTTGCATAGAAAGTTTGAGTTGATTCCGATCAAGTTTGGATTTTTTACGATTTTTTTAAGTTGCTCCAAAATCGAGCAAAAGTCCCTGTACTATAGTACAGGGACTTTGACCAAATTTTACCAAAAATGGCAAGGTGAGAATTTTCCATTTTTATATTTTTATCTGATACGTATGCATGTTCTTATGTTGTGTAGAAAGTTTGAGTTGATTCCGATCAAGTATGGATTTTTAATGATTTTTAAAAGTTGCTCCAAAATCGGGCAAAAGTCCCTGTACTATAGTACAGGGACTTTGGCCAAATTTTGCCAAAAATGGCAAGGTGAGAATTTTCCATTTTTATATTTTTATCTGATACATATACATGTTCTTAAGTTGTGTAGAAAGTTTGAGTTGATTCCGATCAAGTATGGATTTTTTACGATGCCTTTCTCTCTCTCTCTCTCACACACACACACATAGCCTATTCAAGCTCAGTATTGTTTAATCCTGATAATGGTATCCTCAAGTTTCTTCATGATGTAACTACACTAGAGGAGGTAGGCCATTACGGTTGGTGGGTGTGGATTATTCCAATCCTTTGCACAGTTTGCCAGCTGCAAAGAAGAATTGTTGAAGTTGCTCAGTAATTTTGTTAAGAACCTTAGTAGGCGTGTTCTGTCGCATATCGTACCAATCACTGTAACATTAATTGATTTTATAATATTAATGATGTACTTGTAATATTATTTATGTTAGGATGTCTGTGTCTTTATCTTTATGAGGGAAAAATCTGCTAAAGTCAAAAACGCTACCCTCAATTTATTAATAAATGTAAGAATATATAAGAACTACACAACTTGCAGTTTTATACTCCCTCCCTTTCTGCTCTAGACTCTGGAGTTATGCGGAAAGACTGAGTATTCTCATGATCTTGATATTCCAAAAATTGCCGACAAGTATTATCAATTTTTATTTCTTTAGAATAATTTTTAAAATATATTTATTTAAGATTTTTCCAAGCTGCATTACTACCAACCAAGCATTCTGCTACTAGTTAGAAGCGAATGAAGTTACCCCCAATATTTCATGCCCCTTCTCTCCCATATCATGTACAGTTAGAGGAGGGATCTATCACCTGCTGGGAGTTCTTTGCGAATGGTTTCCTGAGCATCTCGTAAAGATATCCTCGCGACTGATCGATATTTATATGAGTAACCTTAAATCTGAGGTAAGCTGATAACAGACAGTTATGTAGTACTTTCTCTTTAGATGACTGTCAAAAAGACAAAGAAGCCAGAGTTACCGATAATATCAGGCTGCTTGTACGGACTCACGGCATACTTGAACAACTTCTCACAATCAGCATCTGAAGGTAAGAGTGATACAGAGAAGGGAGATTGGGGGAGTGTTGTATTTTGTACAGGATCAGTTTATGCTCAAGATATATACAAGTATACAAGAATGGCCATCGATCCTCTAGCTAATTTAACTCGATATGAGGTCCCAAGAGGTACCATTGTTGTTGTTGTTGTTGTTGTTGTTGTTGTTGTTGTTGTTGTCGTTGTTGTTATTGGTCTTTTCTTAATTATTTGCAGCTGGTTTGAGCCTAATTAGTCGTCACGCGGCTCAATTTAGAGAATATTTAGTCAAAGACTCTGAAGTGGGTGTGTGCTTTGTCTGATAATTAACTCGGTGTATTTTTATGCAGCACATGTACGAGAGTCTGTCCAGCTGGTCAAACCACAAGAACAAAGAATGCAGAGTAGTAGCAGTTAATGCCATTGGATCATTCTTCAGAGAGGTGCAAGAGTTAATCTTTTATTCTGTATCATAGACTCGTTAATCTGTCACCATCATCATCATCATCATCATTATTATTATTATTATTTCTCCATCAGGTTTCTACTCAGATATCTGATCCCAGTATTAGCAGAGAGCTTGGGATTTCTAATTATAAGTTTTTCATGAAATGCTTTCGTTCATTGATGAACGATCCTGACATTAATCACAGACTATTATCCATTGCTGTTAAAGGCTATGGGCACTTTGCTAAAGTACAGCTGCCTTTACTCATCTACTTGTATTAACATTTCTCCTACTTTCTCTCCCCCTCTCTCTCCCTCCTCCCTTAGCCCTGTAGATTATATGGGTCAATGGAGGATTTACACTTTATGTTTGGTGAGATGGTTCAAAGGAGCGAGCAGCTGTTTCTAGCTAGTGTGGACTTCACCACCAGCAGTAGTAGTGTAGCATTTGAGGAGAGATTTCTCTTACCCACTTTCATTGAAGCACTAGCGAACATTAGCAAAGAGATTCAAAATGTTAGTCAATGATAAATTCTATTTTATTTGTCTTGTCCCTTTTATTGTAGTTGCCTGATGTCTGTCTCTCTTCATTGCAGAAGTTATCTGTGTTATTGTTTCATTGCTACCCTTTCCTTTCAAGTCATGTTAGATATCAGGGGTCTGTGTCTCTCCTCAAGTTGATAATGGCAGTCTCTTCAATACCGACTTCATTTAAACAATTCTTGTCTCATATTGGTATGTCTACATACAGTACCTGAGACTTCCATTGCTATTTATTTTATTTATTTTAATCGATTATTCATTTTATGTTGACATTTGACTTGTCATTGATAGTGGTACTATAATCATACTTGTTTATACATTTTGTGTGTGTTTATTTTGTACAGTTTATCAAGGTGTCATAAGGAGCTGCTCGCTTCCTGTTGTTATTGAAGCTGTCCAGGTACATTTTAATTAGTTTTTAATGTTTTTATAATTCACATGTACATGCATTGTACATGTATGCTGTATATCAATACTTGATGATTGAGGCATAAATAATGGCAGCATGTACATGTACGGAATATATTTGATACTTTTTTTTCTCCTTCTCTAGGGCGACGATAGTGCAGTGGTAACAGCTGCTCCATTGGCTGATAGCAACGATAAAGTTATGTCTTATCTTGACTATGTTCAATTATGGATACAATTAATTGATTATAAGAAACTCAAAGTATAAAAAAGAAATTCCCCAAGTTACCTTTTCATTCCCATACCAACTCTTAGGGTATGGGAATGGACTTTGACTTGGAGCTGAGACAAAGCATACATCAACTTGTCTATTCAGAATTCATACAATCATTACTTAATATATTAAGGAAACTGGACTTCACTACTGCCTCTACTACTGAAGATGGCATCATGGTAATGCAATATGCAAGAGAGTTAAAGTACATATAGTTCCATTGTTAACAGGCGAATGAGGGAGAAGGAGGAGGAGGATCAGGTGGAGGAGATCCAGTGATTACATCAGATCCAGTTTTAGGCAGGCAGCCTGCTGTACCAAAAGATTTTCAAATTTTCATTAATCTTGTAGAATTAGCAAAGTAAGGCCTACTATAGGATAAGCCTTCCTTGTAGTTATAATGGAGATATTAAGAGCATTCATTGCAAGCTCTACTTTTGTGGTTGCTTGCTATGAAAACCAAAAAGTTATTGTCCATAAATTGTCTCTTCTAGGAAGGTGATTCCATCTGTTTCTCTCTCATTATTTACTCCTTGGATATTGACTTTTTCTCAAGAGGTCGTTTCCTTGGCAACTCGCTACCCTCTAGTCAGTGGGTTTTATAAGCTACTCACCGTTTGTCTCTCGATATGCAACAAGACGCATTTTTTTGATGTACATGTAAGATATGACGCGTCTATTTCGTTTTGATCTTATATTTTAAAATTTTTGTTTTAAGGATTTGAGTGGTCAAGGCACAGGTGATGATGATGTTGCCATGGAAACTGAAGAGAGAACTGACAGGCAGAGTTGTTATTTTTTGTTTAGTTCATTTATTAAAGAAGTGAGAGAGAGGGGAGAGGGAGGGAATTTTTTAACATTTCTGAAACTTTCCAGGTGGTAGTTCAAATGCAGCAGTACAAAGATGATTTATTAGCTTCTTGTCTTCATCTGATACTAGTGCTTCCCAAAGAGATGGTTGTTAGTGATTTCAAGGAACTCATACCAGCCATTAAAGTATATCCATTCACATATACCCTCTCTCATTTATCCCTCCTCCCCCCTCTCTCTCTCTCTCTCTCTCTCTCTCTCTCTCTCTCTCCACTTTCAGTTAGCCCTTAGGATAGGGATGGGTTATTTACCATTGGCTAAGTCAGTCATGGAGGCATTGGAGAAATGGACACTCTATATTGTAGAGTCTGACAAGATGGATACACTCCAATGTCTGGTCAATGAAATACTCCCTCTCCTTGCTGACTACCTTAAAGCAACATCAGTTCAATTAAGTATGTGTATAGAATATATGTATGTACATGTACATGTACATACATATATATGTAAAGTTTTAGTCATTTCTGCTTATAAATTGATTATATACAAATAGAAAAATATTTTTGTAAAAGTTTTAAAGGCTATATAATAATAATAATAATAATAATAATTATTATTATTATTATTATTATAGAAGAGGAGGAAGATGGAGGTAGAGGAAAGCAATATGCAACAAAGCGTTATGCTAGAATGAAAATGGTTGAAAAATGGAGCGAAGGATTACATCAAGTAAAATGACAGTCCTATTGCAACTCTATCATAAATTATCCTTTTATAATCCCAGGGTTCTCGTGATGATATTACATCAGTACGTAGACGCATACTCCTCCTATTGGGGTCCTTAGGGGGTGTGGTCAATGAGTCTTTGTCAAAAGTGCCAAGTCAGCATTCCTTGGTATCATGGGATAGTGATCGGAGGTTAGGGTTTGCTGTTCCTTTCTCTGACCTGAAACCTGAGATTTACCTTGGTAAATAAATTAATAAATAAACTTTCTTTTTAATTGTCATGGTTTATAGATCCATATCTACCTACTGTTTGTGAATTAGCTCTTTCATCTAGCGACAGACAAACTAAAGTATTTCGCTTTGTGCATGTACTTCACCATCTCTCTTTCTCTCTCTCCCCCCCCCCTCTCTCTCTCTAGGTTGCTGCCTGTGAGTTTCTTCATGCTGCCATGCTGTTTGTTATTGGTAAGGGGACACAGCAATCCGTTCAAAAGAAAGTAACTGATACTTGATCCTTCCTCCGTTTATTTCTCTCTCTCTCAGAATCCAATGACCAAGTTGTATCAGAAGCTTATACCAGTAGCACTGCAGTTAGCCTGTGATGTTGACAGGGTAGATTAAATGTCTACCTTATTTTATTAATTCAATTGATTTGTTGTTAAGGTTGCTGAGCAGCTGTTTCGTCCACTTGTCTTTCAAATGATACATTGGTTCACTAGGAATACACAATATGAAAGCCCAGACACTGTTACACTGTTAGAGGCTATACTGGTGAATATTGATAGGGAGAGAAAGCAGAGGGGAAGAAAGAGAGGGAGAAAGGGGAAATATAGTAGGGAAAGAGAGAAAAGAGGACAGGCACTTGTAGTTAAGTTAGTAATATTTCTCCTTCTCTTCTAATCACAGGAAGGCATTGAACATCCAACCAATGCATCTCTAAGAGACTTCAGTGCCCAATGTATTAAGGAATTCCTCGTTTGGTCAATCAAACAGACATCAAAGAAGGTTATAATTACCCTCTCGTCTTCCTAGATATTATTTATTATTAATTTGCTTGATTGTTTTTGTAGCAACAAGAGCGTAGTCCGATGAACACTAAGTCCTTATTAAAGAGGCTTTACAGTATGTCTGGTCACCCAAGCACAGCTAAGAGGCTAGGAGCAGCCCTTGCTTTTAACAGCATATATACAGTACTGAGGTACACTGTACTACAATAATGTGTACTGTATGTGGATTCATTATTGTATATTCCCCAGAAACATGTTTTGATGAATTTTGATCAATAATCCTCCAGTACTGTAGTACAGGGACTTTAGGCTGATTTTTAATGACTTTAAAAATTCGTAAAAAATCCAAACTTGATCGGAATGAGCTCAAACTTTCTATGCAACATAAGTACATGTATGTGTATCAGATAAAATTATAAAAATATAAAATTTTCTACTTTCATTTTTGCCAAAATTTTGCCGAAGTCACTGTACTATAGTACAGGGACTGTGGCCTGATTTTGGAGCAACTTTAAAAATTCATAAAAAATCGAAACTTGATTGGAATGAGCTCAAACTTTCTACACAACATAAGTACATGTATATGCATCAGAAAAATTTATAAAATGGAGAATTCTCTACTTTTCATTTTTGGCAAATTTTGGCCAAAATCTCTGTACTATAGTACAGGAACTTTTGCTCAATTTTTGAGCAACTTTAAAAAATCCAGAAAACCCTGACTGTATATATTAAAAGCATAGAATACCATAAAATTTTATGCTACATGTACATGTACATACGTGTGACCTTGTTATATTTTATTAAAATTTAAACAGAGAGGAAGAGTCCCTTGTTGATGTGTTTATTATTGAGATGCTGGTTGTCATGGTGAACAGTTTGAAACTGGCCCATAAAGACGCTCAGTCAATTGGTAAATAAATTTTAACTATTATTATTTATTTATTATTATTATTATTATTATTATTATTATTATTATTATTATTATTATTATTATTATTATTAAATTTGTAAAGGTACGGTGGATCAGTGTTCCCTATCTCTGGATCACATGTCTCGTATTATTAAAGCCAAGTCCTCCACTTGTTTATCAAAGGCTAATAAAAACCGGAGGGTACCCAGGGGACTCAAATCTGCTGACCTCAGCATTCTTACCGCCTGGCTGTTGGCTCAATGTGGATCCATTGAAACTGAAGCAAGGAAGATGTGCCGGAAACTACTTGTGCAACTAGCCCCTCCTTCCTCTAGTGAGTATACTGGAATATCAGGAAGTATCCTGATTTAGTGTCCTACTGGGCATGTTGTACATGTGCATGTACTTATATGTACATGTACATGAAGCCTTATGACTGCAGCATTTAATGTACATGTATCATCATCGTAGATGTTGTGAACATAAGGATGTGGATTAGGAAAACTATCGAAAGTGAAGGTGGTAATTACTTTGTCACTAGGTACATCTATAATAATAATAATAACAATAACAATAATGGTGACACATAAACATTTAATAGGTTTGAATCACATGGTCATAGTGGGATATTAAAGGCTCCAACACTAGCGCCTGCTCCTAATATAAATATTGCTATCAATTGGCTCCAGTCCCTACAAGCAGCTGTTGATAATTACAGGTGGCTTTTAAAAGAGCAATATGTGTCTCCCAGAGAAATATTCTCTTCAACTTCATCCTCCAATTTATTCAAGAGTATCGATCACTTCTTGAAGTGTATCGCTCTGGTTGGGATTGAGGGTGTTGTCAATTCTCCCGAGGTTGCTATGGCAACCAGTATCCATGAAAGAGGAGAGTACCAAAGGAACAAGTGGTGCACTATTGAGCTGTTGCTCACTTTCATTGAACTTCTATTAACTAAACACACGAGTGAGACTGTTTCTTTTGAAGTGAGATGAAGATTCCTTCATATTATTATTATCCTTGTTATTGTATGTGTGTAGTATGTACCTGATTCACTGTGGTCTCAGGAGCTCTACACTATAGTAATGGACTCATTGTTTTATTCATCGTTAGTTAATACTGCACCTGATGATCCTTCTACTGCTAAGAGAATATCTGAAGCAGTAAGAATTAACACGTACACACACGTTGTTGTTGTTGTTGTTGTTGTTGTTATTATTATTATTATTATTATATAGGCTGTGTCTTGTTTGACTGCAATGTGCACTAGTCTACCAATTGATGTAAAGCAAAACCTCATTGCATACATTGCATCTAATATTAATACTGGACAGTAAGTTAAGCTAAAATGCAAATAATAATAACAATAATTACTACATGTTGACTCAATAATCCTTTCCCTGTAGGACCAATAATGTAATTAATCGCTTACCTGTATCATATAATGAGAGTACAACATCAAGTGGCATATTACTGTTTAACAGACTAGTCCAGGGACACATTTACTTAGCAGAGTCCAATAAGTGCTTAAGTGATGTACTAAAGTCAATGGGCATCAGTGAAGAAGAGTCCTTAGCAATGAGATTATATACTAATGCTTTGACTATCATTAGAGGAATCTCCTCTTCTCCTGGTGATGGTACTCCTGGTTATTATATGCCTCCATTGCACAAGCTGACTGGAGAGTTGCTCTTGAAGTTAGGATTGGAGCTTAGTGATAGTGTTAGTCACAAATAGTATAAAAGGTTTGTCAGTTTTTATCTTCATGTGTACATGTAGGTTGAGCCATTTCTCCTTCTGGTTCTTTCTCCTGCTCAAAGTGGTGCCGGTCTGTTTAAATTGTTTATCTTTGTTTATTTTTTGTTTGTTTGTTGTTAGGCGCTAGTTTTGCTGCTCAGGATGGCCTGCTGCTATACATTACATATTCAGGATTAATTAATAATAAATTATTATTGCACATAAAAATGGCAATTGACGTCTTATTGAAAAATGCTAAGACACACCCACAACAAGTAACCAATCTATATTATTAGTAGTAATCTTTTAAATATTTTATACAGGTGTCTGTGATTCTTAATTTGCTGTTGGAGTATGTTCAGAAAGATTTTAAGATTAATAATAATAATAATAACAAAGAGACTGTAGAGACATTGTGTACTGAGCTAATCTCTCACTGGCAAGACTTGAGTCTTTGGTGGGAAGATGGCTCCAAGGATTTGAAATCAGCAGCTGTAACCTTGTTACAAAAGATAATAGCATTGAAGCCAAAAGTACATTGTATGTGCTAAAATGATAATTGAATTAGACGTATTTTAGCTGCTGTTAAAGAGTGCTGATGTTAGCAAACCATTAGTTGACATGTACACTGCCATGATTGGGGACGAGAAACTAGAATTGAATTTTAAAGTACTTGATCTATACCTTTTTATTATTTCTTTTATTTTTATAATCTTCTCTTACACCTGCTCCCTACTCTCTCAGGCTGTCATGATCGACCTTCTTCCTTCATTCTTATTATTATCATCTCCTGAGCATCAGTCCCAGCTAAAGTGAGATATACCAACTCTGCTATTAATTATGATTACTGATTACAGGGGCAGTCTCAATCGTCTTGTGTCCCTCCAGTTTCCTCTAACTTCATCAGAACTACCAGCTGGAGGCCCACTGCTTAATGAGTATACTAACATTATTGAAAAGGTGAAGAATTGCAGCTGCCGTGTATTTATAGCTATTATTATTTTATTATTTTTAAAAATTATATTTTGTAGTTGTGTAATTCCTTGGTAGCAAGCGGTAGCCTTGTTCTTTTAGAGTTAATTATTAACATTATGTGTCGAGAAGTCAGACATGTTTGCGAAGAGAAGATACAAACCAGTCTTCACCAATTCATATCAAAGTAAAAATAATTATGATAATAATAATAATAATAATAATAATAACAATATTACTTGCTTTAGATTGTCTGAAGATGGAGTGGATGCTCTCAAGTTTGTTTACGAAATGTTTAAAAATGATAAAGATTTTCCTGTCGCTGCTGTAAAGGGTATCGGAGAGAGACTCTGTGTCCCATTATTCACGGAGTGTTCATCGGCTGTTCTATTGGAGTTCTTTGTACTGAAGATAAGTGATGTCATGTGCATAATGGAGGCAAAACTAGCAAGAGTAAGTATCTATTCTTTCCTGTGTTATTGTCCCTTTTTCAGGTGACAGATCCTAAGTTAGAGTGTCAGTTGGTACACAAGTCGTGTTGTTTCCAGTTTATTGAGATACTCTATACTCGTCTTCCATCGTCCCTGATAAGCAGCATGGAGAGCACTGTTAACACTGCTTACTGTAATGGCAGCCCTCAGACTGGTAAAGAACTCACTCAAGCCATTACTAAGTAAGCAGCTGGGAACATTGAAAAATACCCAAGGCTATAGCCCATGGTTTTTTCAAAAAATGGCTCCGAAATCACTCCAAATTTTTATTACATTTTCTGATACATATCGATGTCCTTATGCTATCTAGCAAGTTTGAGCTGATTCCGACAATTTTTTTTTGAGTTATGGGCATTTTTTAAAAACTCCAAATTTCAGAAAAATACCCTGTACTATAGCCCATGGTTTTTTTCAAAAAATGGCTAAAAAATCACCCCAAATTTTTATTACATTTTCTGATACATATCAATGTCCTTATGCTATTTAGCAGGTTTGAGCTGTTTCCGACGAATATTTTTTGAGTTATGGTCATTTTTTTAAACTCCAAATTTCGGAAAAATACCCTGTACTATAGCCCATGGTTTTTTCCAAAAAATGGCTAAAAAATTACTCCAAATTTTTATTACATTTTCTAATACATATTGATGTTTTTATGCTCTGTAGCAAGTTTGAGCTGATTCCGACAAATATTTTTTGAGTTATGGTCATTTTTAAAAACTCCAAATTTTGGAAAAATACCCTGTACTATATATAGCCCATGGTTTTTTCCAAAAAATGGCTAAAAAATCACCCCAAATTTTTATTACATTTTCTGATACATATCGATGTCCTTATGCTATTTAGCAAGTTTGAGCTGTTTCCGACAAATATTTTTTGAGTTATGATCATTTTTTTAAAACTCCAAATTTCGGAAAAATACGCTGTACTATAGTCCATGGTTTTTTCCAAAAAATGGCTAAAAAATCACCCCAAATTTTTATTACATTTTCTGATACACATTGATGTCCTTATGCTACGTAGAAAGTTTGAGTCGATTCCGACAAATATTTTTTGAGTAATGACCATTTTAAAAAACATGCTGACTGATTCACTCCTTCTGTAGGTGTTGTCATGGCGCTAAGTCAGAGGATCTCCATGGTGATAGGACCCACTATGAAACCAGGAGACAGTACCACTGCCATGCATACAACACTTTAATGTCCGTTATATCCTGCACACAGAGCAAGCCACAGTTCTTTGTTGGGTTCCTTTTCAAAGAAGACGTTGTCAAAGGACAGCTGCTATGGGATAACATCATTGATTGTGAAAAGAAATATGAGTTTCAAGTTGATTTTGAAGTTCGTGGCCATCATTTATCATTAATAATAATAATAATAATAATAATAATAATAATAATATGATAATATTATTATTATTATTATTATTATTATTAGGCTCCTCTTAAGAGAAGAAAGCAAATCACATCCATCAGAGACGATTTAAAACAATCCACTGCAGCTGGTAATTCAAGTGGTAGCCCATCATCCTCTCCTAGCACTCGTCCACGATATATTTCATCTCAGTATTTGTCCGACTCTAGTTTGAGTACTGACGTATCTCAGTATGACTTCACATTACCTCATCATCACCAGTACGGGTCTGTAGGCGGAGGAGCATCTACCGAGAGTAGTAGTATTGATGAAGATTCAGGAAATGTAAGTTTTCACTATAGCAGCAAAGAGAAACATGTAAATAATGTTAGTACTTTGTATAGTCATGGATAAACTACATCTCTTTTATATCAAGAAATGGGTTGTAGTATCTTTTACTTTGGCTAAATTGCCTACACATTTGCAATTTCTGTAAATGATATAAATGTACTATGCTTCATTAACATTACTATTCATAAAAGCTACTGGGAGTGTCATACTAATTCACTAAATGAACTTTGACACTAGACTCAATAGTTTTAAAACCTCAGCCTAAAGAACCAGCACCCTATAAAAATAGTCTGGTTTTCATAATTTCCCAATGCCCATCCATCATTATTGCTGCTCATTCAGAGGAGTCTTAAGGTCAAGTAGGAAGTCCTGCCTACATTTATTCACCATGACCTACCAATGGAAATAAAAGTAGCTATAAATACCAAGAGAAAAGAAACTCCAAGCACCATATAGCCATCAAGTCCAAAAATGGGTATTCTCGCTTTATCTCTCTTGATAGTTACTTTGATCCTCTTTGGCAGCCAAAGCATCAGTGCAGGTAATATATCATTTGCTAACTTTAGCTGAAGCTTTACATTTCCTTTCTACAGTGACATACACTCGATGGGGTCAGACCTCATGTCCTACAGATAGCACTGGTGCTACACTTGTGTACGAAGGCATGATGGCTGGTAGCAAGCACTCTGAATCCGGTGGTGGAGCACAATATATCTGCCTACCAAAAGAACCGGAGTACTGGTCGGTTGGAGTTGGTACTCCTCGTACTGAATCATTCCTTTATGGGGCAGAGTATCAACTACGTCTTTATCCTTCTCAGGTTGAATACACAGCACCTTGTGCAGTGTGCCTTATTAACTCCAATAAGTCATCAGTAATAATGATACCAGCAAAAGTAACATGTCCTCGATCATGGACACTAGAATACAATGGCTACCTCATTGCTGAGTATTATGCTCATCCTAACAATGTTTTATACGAGTGTCTAGATATTAACGTAGAGACAGTACCTGGAACATCTCGACTGGATCCAGAAGCATCTATCCATCACGTGACATCCACCTGTCATGGCCTTCCCTGCCCTCCGTATCGCACAACAAAAGAGCTGGCTTGTGCCGTCTGCTCAAAATGAAACTATTTTGCATATACATATACATACATGTAGAGACTTTGATTAGTTTTTTAATTGATTTGTGATGATTTTTTGAAATAATGATACTAATAAAATGTTAATAAACAATAAAATGATGGTAATAAATAAACTTTTGAGCATAAAAAGCTTTTGCAGTTATTTATATTGATGGTGGATCTGGCTACATACATAACACCAGTACTTGCCTAACTTTCAAAAATTGGTTTTGTGCTGATACTAAAATAGTTTAGATTGCATGTCACAAGAATACCTTGTTATCATTTCTAACATTCATAGCACTGGCCACATAACATTGCTTTATTGCTCTTTGGTAGTATATTGCATGTCTATTATAATAATATTTTCATTTTACTATTTTATTAGTCTCAGGAGGCCTCATCATACGTTGTATCTGAGGAGCAGTTGGAAGAAGATGATTTGAATATTCACGAGTGCATGACTCCGCTAATGAAGCTACTGGATCACATGATCATCAACAAGATAACGCCGGCTCCGTCAGGAGATAGTCCTGAAATGCCTCCTTGGATGACGCCTTTGCATAAAAGAATGACTGATAGTAGAACTGGCAGAAACATTAAATTGTTTATAGTCAGATTAATCACCAACAGACCAAAGGTTAAGAATTTGTTGTTGTTGTTGTTGTTGATATTATTATTTTTAAAATTCTAGATATTCCAGCCATATGCTAAACACTGGTTACCAGTCCTTACACAGTTTATACTCAGCGGAGACAGCACTGCCGGAATGGGAGGAGCAGTGGGAGGAGGAGAAAATGGACTTGATTATTTTACAGTAGATGCAATTGCTACAATGCTCTCTTGGTCTAGCACAGCTATTATTGAAGTATAATAGCACACCTTTACTAATTATTTATTTATGTTTTTTTTTTTTATTCTTTTATTCATTTTTAGGATAGATTTCTTGGTAGTCAACTTTTAGAGTACATCATGTTGAGGTCCAATCATAAGAATAGATCCATCCTACGCAACAATCTTGAAATAGTTAGGACTATGGTTGAGCTGTGGAAGGATAAAATTGATATTCCTACCAGGTGAGAGGGGAGAGAGAAAGAGAGTGTGGACAAATTTAAAATACAATTGTATTATTATTATTTTTATTTTTATTTAGAGTGTTGTATGATCAGTTCAGTAACTCAGACAAGTCCACTGTATCTAATCTAAGTGGTATACAGCTGGTCGGTATTGCTGTTGCCAACGAGTTGAATCCTTACGATACAAACACTGCTGGATCACTGGATCAAGGACTGTAAGTCACTGATATTGATACTGATACTGATATTGATACTGATATTGATATTTTACTTGTAGGTATTACAAGATATTTGTCAATAATTTGACTTTTAAGTATAAGCTAATTTATGCAGCAGCTGCTGAAGTATTAGGAATGATAATGAAGAGAATGGCAGAATCTTATGATGTAAAGCACAACCTCTTCTTTCTCTTCTTAATATTCCTTTCCTCTCTCTCTCTCTCTTAGCCATTTCTTGACAGGCTTGAAGAAATGGTCGGTGAGCAATTATTCAAATTATCTCAGCCTTTGGAGAAATCAGAGGACAAATTTATTACCTGTCTCCACAAAATTACTCTTTGTTACAACAAAATCGTCCCAAGGTACTGATGAACAGAATGCTTCATGTACAATTATAATGTGTACTGGATATATCTTCAGTAGTTTAATTATTTGAATTTCTTGTTGTTAGATTTGTCGAAAAACTCTTGTTCCTCCTGCCGTCACTTCAGGGAGTGTTTCGTAGCTCTTGTCTTGAGATATTGGATACCCAGGCTGATGTGCAGCCTCAGTTTTACCTCAAGCTAAAGGACAAAGGATTTCATACCATGATCTCGCATAGGTGAGATGAATCAGCATCTTACCTACAATTGAGTATTGTTGTACTATTATGAGTATTAGTATGATTGGTTATATTATTATTTATTATTATTATCACTACTTCTCCTTTTTTCTTTCCTTTATGTGTATCTTCCTTTCCCTAGGGATGAAGCTACCCAAACAGCTAGTCTAAGTATAGTACAGAAACTCCTTGTTCAGTTAACTAATGATCAGTTGTCAGAGATAGTACCAATCCTCATTGCTTCGTTCAGTAAACATGGCAGTATACAATGCAGGATTGTATTGTATAACATTTTAATGAGAGTTTATAATAAGCTATGGTCAGTGGGCATGTACATATATACTTTAATCTTACTCTCTTTCTGTTCCTCTATAGTACTGATGATCAGTCTGAATCTGATGATTCTGTGAAGATGATTCGATCTATATCAAGAGATCAGCTCCTTCTTGGATTAGGGGATGAATCAAATGAAGTCAAGTAAACATCTTGATTATCATTAGTATACTGTTGTTGTTATTGTTATTATTGTTATTTATTGTTGTTATTGTTGTTTTAGGCTAAAGATGTACGAGTATTGGAATCAAGAGAGTAACTTGTCTTCGAATACGCTGGACAGGTTAACCCAGCTGCTGGTCACCCTGTATTCTAAAAAGACAGAGACTCAGTTTCTCTATCATGCAACTAACCTCTTGCTTGAGTTAACTTCAAGGAGCCCTGACTATAACAGAGTTTTGTTTGATACTCCTCTCTCGGAGTGTAGATTTGAGGTAAGAAATGTACTTATGCATCATTCTGAAGTTTGTTTTATGATCAACATTTTTGGTCCTCCTAATGTGTACAATGTCGTTTAGGATTATAAGGAAATTGATCTCTCCTGGCAGCAGAGACACTTGCAGATGACTCCATTGTTTGCCGCCACCCAATTATCTCAGACCCAGTCTGATACTGGGAGCATAGGAACGGGAATGCTTCGTGCTACCGTCCAACAGTCGCTGGCTTTTACCCCAACACAAGGACAAGGTTATCATAATGGTGACAATATATGATGTGTTATGAATATTTCTAATTAGAGAGCAGCTACAATTGGATGACTCCATCAGCTCAATCGGTTGATTATTCAGTGCCTTCATTTACCGTCGGAGCCACGCCTACCTCAGACTCCTCCCTATTATTTACTCGTCCGACGATGAGACCTCCACTTAAAAACCCTCTGAGAATATCAGCAGAGAGGTTAGGTAAAGTTGGGGAGAGCGAGGGAGGGGAGACTAAGGAGGAAAAGAGAAAGCAAGTATTGCAACTTAAGAAACGAGCTCTTAAAGACAAAGAAATGGTTAGCTCGTTCTTTGCTATGAATGAAGCAAGGAAGAAAATGAGAAGAGAAGTAAGTGTATATATAGTTCTAACTCTCTCTACTCTTCTTTGCTTCAGGAGCTTAAAAAGCAAAGGAGAGCTGCCAGACAAAGCTATGTTGTGATGTACAGAAAGTATAGGATGGGAGAACTACCTGATATTCAAATAAAACACTCAGAATTGATCAGACCTCTCCAGGCATTGGCTCAAGTTAGTGCATATATTTTTATTCATTATTAATCTTCCTCCATTAGAATGACAGTGGATTAGCAAGACTATTATTTTGCTCACTGTTTAATTCGATATTCTCACAATTGGATCACTTACTAACTGAAGAAGATGCAGCTGCCACTAAAGGAGTAATAGAGGGAAACATTAACACGATACTTGACTGCTCTACTCAATACTATCCTCCATTCATTGGGAGTCTACAGGTAATACACAATCACCAACTCAAAATTAAAAGAAAGTTGTTGGAATTAGTTGAAACTTAACTGCACATGGCATGAAAGCATCAATCCATGTACAACTTTATTTAAAGCCCATTTTGAATTAATAGATCACATGCTTTTTTAAAAATTGGCAAATCTTACATGAATATTAAATGTGATATTATGTATCTGTAGGATATTTGTTATTATGAAAATAGTTTGAAGATAAAGCCTCCTAGCATTACCACATCAAGTCTTGCAAGCAAACAAGAATTCACTGGTAAAATGAATTATTTTAAAAGTTTACATGTTCTTGCACTCTCTCTCTCCCTCTCTCCCTCTCTCTCTCTCTCTCTCTCTCTTCTCTTCATCATGCAGGTATAATGCTACTAGAGAAACAGCTCCTATTGAATGTTGACTCAAGTAAAAGTGCTAAAAGATCACGTACCAATAAAAGTAACGAAGTCACTGAGACATGGATTGAGTTAGCAAGGTACTTATGATAGTTAATAATAATACTGATTTATATTTTATTTTATGTTCCTTTCTTGTGACATCAGGTTGTATAAGTCATTGGAAGATTATGATGTTCTTCATGGGATATTCACCAACCTTGATGACACCAAGGATGTGACAAGAAAAGCATTAGAAGCAGAGGAAAGAGGAGACTACCTCACTGCCCTCAACTTGTACAAGAAGGTACTTGACTTGATGCATCTGTTAGTAACCATATTAATTCTCCTTCTCTTCTTTTTTTCACTCATACTCTCTCTCTCTCTGTAGGCCATAGATTTTGACTGGCCTCAAGGTGAGTCTCCACCACAAGTTGAAGAAGATTTATGGGAAGACTCTTTACTCAATGTAATTCACTGCAGCCAATGTTGAGTCAATACTCTACATTATCATTCATGATCATTCAGGCATACTCTCACTTGACAAAATGGAAAGATCTAGAGAAAGCTTCAACTTGTAATATTGGCGAAGAGACTAATTCGAAACTAGAGCAGCTGTGGAAAGACTCTTATTGTCAAGTATATGCATGTACATTGCAATTGCAGTTCACCTTTTTCTCTTTCCCTCTCTTCCTATAGGAGCATTACCTACCATTTGTCCTCTCTTCAAAGTTAAAGCTATGGTGCACTGATGATTCTGATCATGGTCTAGCCTCATTTCTTGATAAAAGCTTATCAGAAGAGGCAAACCGTTCCGTCTTAGAGTCTCATTATCCTCAGGAACTAACACTCTCCTATGTGCTAAGAGATGATTATGACAGAGCCTATTATTACCTCAGTCTCTCATTGAAAGCAAAGCAACAAGTACATGTATATGAGATTATAAATATATATATATATATTTTTTTTTTTATTTTTTTTAGATTTGGTCAGTACAAGATGGTATATCATCTTCAACTGGAGCAGTTTCATCAACTGTGCAATCATTACAGAGACTAACTGAAATGAATGAGTTTATTACTTTCATGAAATCTAATGGTAACAGTACACCATGTGTGTATGTGTTTATGTGTTTTATGCTTCATTAGATAATTTCAGCAGTCCGGGCCCTGTGAATAATTTATTGAGGAAATGGAGGAAACGTTTCCCAGACCCTAAACTTGATCCAGTCCCGATTTGGGATGACATCATTACCACAAGGTGAGTTGACAAGAATAACACATTTAGTAGAGCAGATCTACTGTATATGATACTGGTCTACATGTATGTATATATGAACTCACTTTAATCATTTTTTATTACCAAATGTATGATGTAAAGGTGGATGATGTTAAGAAAGATATCAACTAAACTTCAAGACTCAGTGCTCAGCCAGCAATGGTAAGTATTGCTATTAGCATTTAATAGTTGTACATAGTGATGTATTGTTGTCATATTCTCTTCTTTATTTTAGTGAATACCTACTTGATGATGATGGTAGCAGCTGTAGTGTAGACTCAATGATGAAAAATGAAAACATTAACATGTTCATGAGAGCTGCTGACGCTGCTAGGACTCAAGTATAATAAAATGATAATTTAATGCAGTAAATGTATTACAATTCCTCATCTTTCTCTCAAGTCTAATTATCCAGTTGCTGAGAATTATTTGAAAATTGTCGAGAAATCCATTTTAAAGGTTAATAAGCTGCATATGATAATTATATTCTCAATTTATTTATTTATTATTTTATATTTGATAGGATTTTCCTGATAATTATTTCATTCAGCTAAGATGGTTGCATAGTTTAATAAAGGTGAGGCTTGACCGGATTCATCAGGACCCATCGCCTACCGACATGGAGGCTGTAATATCACTTACATGCCAAATGGGTTAGTACATATATACACATGTTAAAGGAGCATTATAATTACATGCTTTCTTTATAGACAATTTCAAAGGAAGATTAGGTGGTAGTGGCAAGGGGGCCATATCAAGTAAGCCATTTATATCACAGCATCATGTGCTACTGGGTAAACTGCTGAACAAAATGGCCGAGATATTTGCCACTCCAGAAGATGGTAAGCATTTGACGGCAACTGGCAGTTCAAATCATTACCTACACATTGTTAGGCATGTTGGCATTAAGTGCCCTGAGTAATGATGGAAATACTAAACTTAATTCTTTGATTGGTGGAACACCTTCTACTTCAACCAAAGTGAATCCTCTACTGTATATATCATTATTTGTGTTATTATTATTTATGTGTGTTAGGCTATATCTGAAGGATTATGGATACAAGCATTATCTTCATTCAATGCTGGTGTTAGATCTGGTACTACTCTTAATCCACTGACTAAAGATCCAGTCCCCACTGTCCAGAGTTTAGAGGAATTGTTTGGATTTTGTGACAATGCACTACGTCAGGAAGACCATGATGACGGTGAGAAAGAGGAGAGAATGAGACGTAGGAAGGAATAAAGAGTGGGTTTAATTTTTCTTTTTTTATTCTTTTTTTAGAGCAATCAACAGGATTGGATACAAAAGTATAATATATTGAATATTGTTGTACACACATGTTTAAATCCTTTATTTATATTTCTTGCAGTCTTTTCCTTCCATTATTATTAATCACACGCTAACTGCAATGTCTCTTGGTTCAAGCAAAGCCAGGGAGCTCTTCCCAAGATTACTTCAACTTGTCGAGGCACATCCTGACACAATGGATCTAATGATTAATAAAGTCTGTGTTTACTTCATTTCTTTATTGATAAAGATTGTCTTTTAATTTTCACCTTCTCATTAATTCTTTGATAGAGCTCAACTATTCCGTGTTGGATGTTCATAGGTTGGATAAATCAAATGATAGCTCTAGTGGATAAACCAGAATCAAGAGCTGTGCATGATATACTGATAAGGATTGCTGATACTTACCCACAAGTCATTAGTTACTATCATAATATATAATAATTTTATGGTTCATGCAGCTACTGTAGATAACTAGATATGTCTTTCTTTCTTTTTATAGTCGTTATATTATGCTTTCAGAATGAGCAGTAGTGGATACAAATTTGGACACAATAATAGTGAAGGGAAGGAACTTTTTGAAAAGTAATGAAGTGACTCTTATAATTGTTGTTAATACAATTATATTTTGTTGTTGTTTATCATCACAGATTGAAGGAGAAGCTTCAGAGTCAACTAATGGATGAATTCATAGCTGCACTAGAGCAGCTTAATTCACCAGAGCTAGCATGGAAGGTAAAAAATTAATCAATTATATTTATTATTATTATTATTATTATTATTATTATTAATCATTAGGACTGGTATGATAATGAGTTAAAGCCACTGGTTGGCTCTGTCACTGTTCCCAAGAGAGACAAGAATGCAATTAAAAGAGTTTGGGAGCAAATGTACTCACAATTACTGGAGACTAGGTCAGGGCTAGGGGACAAGTCACTGTATGGAGGGAGTCCATCACTTCAAAAAGGAGCAAGACAGAAAACTTTTGCTCAAGTTAGTCATTTATGTATCTATAATATATTTATTTTGATAGGCTTACGCAAAAAATATTGAGGATAAGTTTGGCAAGGGAGGTGCAAAGATTATTAGTATGTCTGGAACACAGCTAGCTAGTGCTTTTAATGAAGTTTATAATAAAATGAGAGAGAGTTTGAACAAATTTTCTTCTTCTGCTTTATTAAAAGATTACAGCCCGTGGCTGGATACTTTTAGACAGGAAGATTATCTTCAAGTCATTGAGGTGCCTGGTAAGAAAGATCCTTGTGGTGTAATGTATGTTTTGAGTTATATTTAGGTCTTTATGATGGCAGGTCTAAACCTCTCCCTGAATATCATGCAAAGATAACTCGTTTTGATGCCAAGGTATGTGCATATATATGCTTTATTATTATAAGTCCAATGACTTATACTAGGTACTGATACTCAGTTCTTTGAGGAAACCAAAGAGACTGACGATTATTGGTGACGACACGAGGGAGTACATGTTCCTTGTCAAAGGAGGTGAAGATTTGAGACTTGATCAAAGAATTGAACAGGTACAACGTTTGAATGACTTTGTCTCTTGTCTTTCTTTATTACCATTTATTTTCTCTTTGTATCTCTTTTCTCTTTTTAGTTATTTGAAACAATGAATAAGGTACTATCTGATGATCCTATTTGCTCTCAACGTAGACTCAATTTAAGAACATACAGCGTGATCCCTGTCACACCCAGGTATCATAGTCAAAATACTCAATATTATAATTAGCAATTTTATTGTTTTGAAGAGTTGGACTGATTGAATGGGTTAGGAATACAATGCCACTGAAAGATTTCATACAATTATCAGATCCTGAGAAGAAGAGCCTGTAAGTCTTTAGTACGTATAGTCTTTGGCTGTTTAAATTGTTTTTAGACCAGCTGCTAGTAAGATGAATCAGAAGTGGCTAGAGCAGAAGTTTGGAGGATCAAATTATGTTAATTGGTACTATGAGATGTACAAGTAAGTTACAAAAAGAATAGCATGTATTTGTATTATTATACATGTACATGTATTGCAGGAAATTAAAAGCTGATGAAGTGAAGAAAGAATACAGGAGAATCGTATCGGCAGTTCCCTGGGATTTACTGAGGTTTACTGATTGATATATCTCATTTTATGTCCATGATTTTTAATATAGACGTTCACTAATAAGCTTAGCCTCTACCAGTGAATCCTTTCTTCTCCTAAGATGCACTTTCATTCAAAGTCTATCGGTCATTAACATCTGCCAGTATATTCTTGGCATTGGCGACAGGCATCTCTCTAACTTTATGGTTGACATGGAAACAGGACAGTTGGTTGGGATTGACTTTGGACACGCTTTCCACTCTGCAACTCAAGTAGATACTATCATTAATATTATTTCTTTTTAAAATTTTTATTCTTTTTATAGTTTCTTCCACTGCCTGAGCTGATGCCGTTTAGATTAACTCCACAATTCGTTAATCTTCTCTTGCCTCACAAAGTCTCTGGGCAGCTCCGCAGCTGCATGATACACACTTTAAGGGCGCTAAGACACTCGCCTACTTTACTCTTAAACACTATGGATGTGTTTATCAAAGAGCCATCTTTGGAGTGGGAGGTAGAAGCTCTAAATTTTAAGTATGCATGCCTAACTCTCTCTCTCTCTCCTTTATATATAGTCTAATGCTAAGAAACAAGCTTTAGCTCAAAAGATAAATACTGATGGTAAAATAACTGAAATAAAATGCATTTGTTATTACATTCATTTGCAGATAACACTTGGTATCCCAAAGAGAAGGTCAATATATGTAGAAAGAAGTTGCTTGGATTCAACTCGTCTCATTTAATGCTGTGAGTATCATAGTGATATGCTAGCTAGTACATCTCTCTCCATCTTTATAATAGTATTGATTTGGAACATGGTTTTAAGAATAAGCCAGAGTTCAAATACCTAAAGGGAATTCTTCTTGGTGACTCTAGCACTAATCTTCGTGCTAGAGTTGGTAAAAGATGTGACAGTGTAGAAGACCAGGTTGATTGTCTTATTGATCATGCTACTGATAGTAATGTACTGGGTAGAACTTATGGTGGCTGGGAGGCATGGGTATAACATTATTATTACTGTATGCACAGACTTTGAGTATAAACTACATGTCCTACAAATTATGAACAGGTTATTCGTTAAAATTTTGTGTGATGGGTGGGGAATTATAGAACTTTCAGTATGGGAAAATCGAGGAAAATCAACTTACTTAAGAGTGGTAGAAGTAGCAGATCGAGCTATTTCTCTACAATTATTAGCCACTGCCAGTCTGGATCTATTATGTGTGTGTCTGTGTACTGTCCATTAATTACTCGTGGTTTATACAGGTGATTACGGTACAAGATTGCAGCATGACTGAACTGTTTTGTTTTTGAAGATAAAAGATATACTCCCCCCCCCGTGTTTTCCTAGGTAGTTTCCCTAGACCCTAGACAGAATGCTGCTGGTATAAAGCGACCTACAAACCACGTGCAAGCTCACTCACAACTGCGAGGCGAATCATAAATAAATTTTGATCACAATGTCTATGTCATCAATTGCTCGGGAGCTAGACAAAAGTTATGTGGAAGGACTTTTGAGTGGAGATCAAAGCTATTCTGGCTTACCTTCTTCGACAATCCAATTGCTGGAAAACAGCAGCCCAATTTACAAAGACATTTGCCACACAGTAAATGAAAGGCTGTTGCGTTGTGTACACTCCTTTCATATGTCGTCAGTTGAAATTGTAAGTGAAGCTTATTCTTGCTCTAGAACTTTTCGTTCTGAGCTTTCCAAGTCCTCCCCGCTTCCGAGACCTCATCTTCTTTTCCATGGTACAAAGAGTTCCAACCATAATTCAATTTTCAATAAGGGATTCTCCTTAAGTTCTGATCATTATGGAGACACAGACGAGGGATATATTGGGAAAGGTGTTTATCTTTCACCACTGCCAGAATATTCTGCTGCTTACATCAAAGAAACAGCTGGTATAAGGCGCTATGATTACAGGGAACCAGTAGAATTAGGTGTCACCTGCCAGGTACTCGGCTGTATTGCATTAGTAGGAAGGACACGGCAGCTTCATCAGAGAGATTATGGCACAGAAATCGAGGGTAATCTGGAGTCACGTTGGGCCTGGGTGAGCTCTAGTGGTAATGTAACAACTGTTACAACTGACTATTTTGCACAAGAGTTTGTCATCAAAACCCCGGCTTGTGTTTACCCAAGGTTTAGAATCTCTCTCAAGCGTGTCAGCAAGGAGCTGGTTTGGTTCGACTCCAATATTGCTAACAAAGAAAACGATTGCTATTTGGCTACATTAAGAAGCCAATCAAACATCAGTGTCTATGCTACTAGAAGGAGTCAGAATGCTGTGTCTGCTCTCAAAAAGAAGAAAGTGGGAACAGAATACAGACTAGTTACAGCTGGTCATGGTGGAGAGGATCTAGTTCGTGATGTGCGTGCAGCTGGTGTTCATTGTCATGTTCTTGTATTCTGTCGATCAGTTGATTATCACAAGCAGTGGGCAAAGAAGTTTTCTAATGTGCAAGTGACTGCTTCACAAGCTGAGTTTATGAGATTTGCTACATGGAAGTAAATAATGTACTGTGGATTGTGTCTATGTGCCCAGTACTGCTAAAGTTATGCTTTTGTTTCAATTGTTTGTGTAATATTGTGCTGTTTGTAACTGGATTTTAGATTGATTATTAAAAAGTGCTGTTTGTTTAAATAGTTAGATATAAATTGAATATAAATTTGTCTGTCAGTCATGCAACGTTTAATGTTCATATAGATCTACAATTGTGTCAAACTGCTCTTCAGTGTAGAAGAACAGGTTGATTGTCTTATTGATCATGCTACTGACAGTAATATGCTGGGTAGAACTTATGGTGGCTGGGAGGCATGGGTATAACATTATTACACAATGATATGCATGCACAGACTATGATTATGCATGTCCTACAAATTATGAACAGGTTATTCATAATAGGTTATTAAACGTTAATAACATTAATAATTAATTAATAATAATAATAATTAGTAATTACAGACTGATAGGTGTGGAGCAAATTTAATTTAATTTGCTGCAACTTGTAAACAACAATATGGACGTTTCAAGCTTTCTGATGCATATGATCCCTTGTTCTCTCCTTGTGCTTTACATTCTCGTCACAGTTCGTACGGTGGTGACTGTAACTCAGGATTACGACACGCCAGTGCCTATTCCAGCACTACTGGCTGGTCTTCTAAAAGGAAATGTACGTCCTTCGTTGTTGCTATCATTCAATATTTGGTTGCTATTGAGTTTTTTGGCCCTTGTACTCTTTTATGGTTTGCCTCTAAAAGCTTACTACAAAAGAATATGCCAAAAGCTCTCCGTTGTAAGTATTCTCAGCACATTTGCTGTTGTTATGTATGAGACTTCAGTGTTTTGTTTCATGTACCAGACCTATGCTGTAAATCTGGTTTCCAACATCATATTTGTGCCTTTTGTTTCACTACTTCTACATTCAGTCTGTCAATTGTATATCTTGTCATTGAATGCTTGGATCGGTTTTTTTACAAATTCCCACATTATAGCGAGCATCTGGTTTAACTACGTCATGATGTATCATATCATTTGTATGATTGTTACATGTGCTAATACAACTCCAACAACCACATCATCCATAATGGCACTATTTGCTATTGCCGGATTATGCTACCGTCTCTGGGCTGCTGCTAAATATACCGACTTGCTGGAAAGAAAGCGTAAAATCCAGAAGTCGCTGTCTGGTGAATCATTTGACACTGACAGATCTAAGGGCGGTGGTGATAGTGCTGTAGTTGCAACTGGTAACAAGCTCAGTAAGCATTTCTACAAAGATGGAAGTAACAGTGATTCATATCTTACCGAAAGTAAAGAAGAAATGCATTATGATAAATCTAAATGTGGAGGATGCGTCATATCGGTCATACCATTAGACTATCAAAGTTTACGACGTTTATTGACTTGTGCAAATTTTTATTCTTACTTCCTACTTGCTTTTGTTAGTTTGCTCACTTACTTAGCATCGTGCTATATTATATTATATTTGATTTCATTGATAAATATTAATGATTATGTTTATCAGATCATTAATTTTGCTACCAACAGTATTTATTCACAATCACATACAAACTTTTAAAAATCTATTTTAAATTTGCCATTGTCATTATATTCCTGTCACTTTATTATTTATTATTATATCAAGGAAGTTTTTAGCCAGTATATTTTTATTTTTGTCAATTATTTTGTTATGTTCATAATCATACTCAAAGTTCTGCAACACCCACGCATTTCATGGGCGTGGAGACAATGGGCGTTACCATCTGATTTTGCTTGCCATCTCAAGCTCGATCTTAAAAGATGAATCTTTTCGAAGTACAACGTCTGCTTGAAAGATGGCCTTCATTACGTGGTGGTCAGGTATAAAAAGAGTGCAATGGTAGCCATTTTGTTATTCTTTTAGGATTTAAGAACACTTTTCATGAAGTTTGATTCCATTGATGGAGTCTGGATTATACCAGGACATGTTTTCATCTCCTACAAGAAAGGTATGATCACTTGACAATCACGTGACATGCATCTCCTTTTTGCTAGATGATTTGCATAGCTTGGTACAGTGTTTCAGTCAGCTACCTCTCAAAGTGGGTGGAGTAGGGGGAGGAGCTTCACCTACCAGTACTGGTAGCTGTGAAATTCCAATGACTTCGAGAGTCATTGAAATACTCAGTATTAGAAAAGACGCCATTTTAATTGTGAGGAATTTAAGCCTCCAATAGCTGGCAGCGAATAACATACATTATAGGTTGAGGAGAATGGCAGGTTACTACCGCTTTCATATAATACTGATAATGGCTGGGGACCTCCAGAGAGAGAGGAAGAGGAGGAGGGAGGAGAAGCAGCTGGACAATTGTTTGTTGGTAGAGGTGACATAGTCGGCGTTTGTCTCTGTACAACTGGAAAAAACAATAAATTGATTTATTGTCTGAAAGAGAACGAAGAAGGTCAAGATGAATGGTGTCACTCTATCTATACTACACAATTCAGCTTTGGTAAGGGAAGGAAAGAGAGGGGGGGAAGGAGGTCATGTAACTGAATAATTAGACCATTATTCCTTCATTATTGTGTACATGTATCATATTGTATATGTATTTTTCTTTCAGATGGCGGAATTAAGGATTTATCTGATTGTAGCCAGCTGCTTTCCCAGTCTCCAAAGATGTGCTTTTATCCGGTACAAAATGGCGTCTGGTTGATCCCTGCCTCTGGGTCACTCTCTCCTCCTAACCTAATGCTCTACTGGGACTACATACAAGTAAGTAATGTGTAGAAACAAAACTCCGTATGTATGGATTTTATTTTAAATAATGTGAATATTTTATTAATTATTGAAGACTTTAGTTTGGAGTGGGTGGAGTTTTATAGAGACATCTGGTCAATTAAAAGATTTTAAAATGATTACAAGGCGGACAGTCAGCGCCTGGAGCAAGGTAAAGAAAACAACACTCTCCATATTTTAATCTTACTTCTCTCTTCTCTCTCCTTGATAAGGAGGAGTCTAGCCGTGAGTTAGCAGTATCATTTACTGTTCACCCAGTTACACAACTACTCCTTTGTCTAACTAGCACTGGCTATGTGTATGAAGTATCAGAAAAAGACGGTAATAGCATGGTTATTTAATTATTTGTTATTATTATTATTATTATTATCATCACCATAGGTTCTAGGAGTGTCTTTGTCGAGTTACTTGATTTCATGGTACGATATCCGTCAGTGAAGTTCTGGTACTCATCGACCACACCCACTGATCACGAGCTATTTATTCTTCATACTTATATCGGAATATGTCTCAAGGGGGAACTAAGGTAAAGATTATCCTCTTATCACTTTAATTTACATGTACATGTACCTTTTCTCTCTCTCTTTCTCTCTCTCCCCCCCCCCCCCTCATTCTCTCCCCTCTCTCTCTCTCTCCCCTCTCTCTCTCTCTCCCCCAGGTTGTATGATAGGTCTACTGGTGAGTTTATTTGGGAATGTGATGATCTTGATCATCCAACGACACGTCTTGTATCAAGTTCGTTCGTTGGATCACCACTGACACCAATCACACTCTGGAATCAGAGCGGGATTTACATGCTAAGAGTAATTCAGTCCATCATTAGCACCTTCTTTATTTCTTTTATAAATTACTTAGTGCCGGAAGGTAGTGGATCACGCTGTGTTGTTTGTGGATGGCCTTTTCCCCATAGCAACCAATGCAGATGAGGTTAGCATACATTATTATTATTATTATTATTATTGTTGTTGTTGTTGTTGTTATTATTGTTATATTTAATGTAAATGATGATTAATGTGTAAGGGATATTTAATGTAATGGACTTGATGTTTTTAGACGACTCCAGGTGAGTTTCTAGAAGAAGGCGAGACAGTAGCAGCTGAATTATGTTTCGTGTGGGGACTGGATATGCTGGCATCACAATACACGGTGAAACAAGTCCACAAACTATTGAAGGTAAGAGACATGATGGGACATACAGTTACTGTTACTGGAAAAATACATGTTTTACCTTACTGTAGGAGAGATCTAGTAACAGAGTAGTGCACCTTCCAGAGAGAGTAAGTTACTTATGAATGAAAGAATTGGAGTATAGTATTATTAACTCATCCTTCTTCCTCTTAGTTGTTAAAGTTGCTCACTGCTCTGTCAGCTCGTAGTCCTCTCATTTGTGTAGCATTACTAACTCAAGTCAGCCATCACTTTAAATTATCATTTATTATGTATATATGCTGTATATGTATATGTATACATGTATAGTATCCACTGTATCGTGGTTTGCTGACTAATCTTATAACTCGGTATTTAGCAGAAACTGATAATAATGATGCCGTTAAGTCACCATTGGCTATACAAACTAGTAAGTGTCAAGCTATTATTATTATTATTATTATTATTTATTATTATTTATTTATTATTAATTACTATTACTATATAGTACCTCTCTTAAAGCAATATTTAACCCTTTCACAACAGTATGAGGATCTTCTAACCATGCCTACTTCACCCGTGAGCTATGAATATTAATGAATAGTTATTATTTATTTATTGACCAATAGTCAGTTGGCATTCCTTCAGTGAAGGATAGGGTAGTGGAAATATTGAAGTGTTCACAGCAATCAACTTTAAAGCATGACCCTACTGGTATAAGTGTTTATCATACTGGATCCTATTCTATTCTCCTTTCATTTTGTAGTAAAGCTAAAAGCTGAATTAACATATTACAGTCACACAGACCCCATGAGCACTTTGTCAGGAATTAAAGATTTCATGAAGATACCTACAACATTTGGTAACTTTTAAATATAATGTGCTAGCTGACCTTTTTCTCTATTGTATCTTTTATACGTATTGCAGCTGATAAGAGGAAACAGGTTAATGTCTCTGAATTCGATTACAATTGGAGGAACTTGTTAGCTTCAGAAGTACCCGAGAAAATTCCTGACAAATCACTTAAAGTACAATTAAAGTTTTACTCACTTCATTTTTTAACCCTCTCTCTTTCTCAGCCTGCTAGCCCGATTGTTAATATACCGATATTTGAATTAACCGTTCAGCTTCTTTATTCGCATCAACCTGACGACCTCGTTCACTTTGTTACATTTGTACATCAAGCAAGAGAAGCACAACTGACTAGCGACTTAACTTACAGTCGACAATGCAAAAAAGTAAGAGAGAATAAACTAAAATGGAGGGTATTTTGGAATAATTATCTCTATTTAAGGGTCACTTTTATCAAAGAGCATTAGATGTTATTACTCCTCCAACTAGTACAGCGTCTTCTGATAAAGTATTTGCTTATTGCCAGCTGCTATTATCAAGGTGATGGAGCCATCATAATTTATAATTATGGTACATTTATTAATAGTGATTGTGCTAGTGCAGAGATCAAGGCTCTGTCACTATTACTGGAGCATAAGGAATGGCCCCATGTCATTGACATGCTTAATGAAGTGTACAGCAAGGTTAATAGGGGTGGGTGGAGACATGCTTGATAGACCACACCTTTCTTTATTTAGGTTCAACCATCAGTTCAATCAGCGTTATTCTACAATACGCTGCTTCACATGTCAAAGGAAGGCATTCTTTCTCAGTATATTACTACACTTTGGCCTTTTTTGCCTGATGCATTTAGGTGCCCATTAACTATAATATTGGTTAATTAATCATTTATTTATTAACTACAGTGTGCATAGTTTTATTGATATATTGAAATGTGGAGATACTGTAGGAGCTAGTCATGCTTTGTCAGAAGGAGGAGGAGGTAAGTTGATTTTTAAAATTGTGCATTAGAGGAAAAATTGATTTTTAGGTGATCAAATATGTGTAAAAGATGAAGACACCAATCAATTAAAAGTAATGATACACGAATCTTTTACATTTGATGTCTCTAATCTCCCCACTTCCTCTATTTTCTAGTTGGAGAATATCATACCGTATATATTGCAGCTGCTATCAAGATAGTATTGATTAATATATGAGTGACAGGCTGGACGGTGCTGTATATCTAATACCTTTATAATAATTGTTTTTAATTACATTTAATTTATCTCTTATTTGATGGTGGATATGATTGATGCAAAGAATAAGATTTTTATAACCTAGAATCAAGAATCACATCCGCATTTTATATTTTCTGATACATATTGATGTCCTGATGTTGTGTAGCAAATTTGAGCTGATTCTGACAAATATTTTTTGAGTTACAAACAAGTTACGACCATTTTTTAAATCGGCCAATTTTCAAAAAATGCCCAAGGCTATAGTCCATGGTTTTTTCCAAAAAATGGCCGAAAAATCACCCTATCTTTTTATTACATTTTCTGATACATATTGTTGTCCTGATGCTGTGTAGCAAGTTTGAGCTAACTCCGACAAATATTTTTTGAGTTACAACCATTTTTTAAAATCGGCCAATTTTCAAAAAATGCCCAAGGCTATAGTCCATGGTTTTTTCCAAAAAATGGCCAAAAAATCACCCCATTTTTTTATTACATTTTCTGATGCATATTGTTGCCCTAATGCTGTGTAGCAAGTTTGAGCTGATTCCGACAAATATTTTTTGAGTTATGACCATTTTTTAAAATCGGCCAATTTTCAAAAAATGCCCAAGACTATAGTCCATAGTTTTTTCCAAAAAATGGCCAAAAAATCACCCCATTTTTTTATTACATTTTCTGATGCATATTGTTGCCCTAATGCTGTGTAGCAAGTTTGAGCTGATTCCGACAAATATTTTTTGAGTTATGACCATTTTTTAAAATCGGCCAATTTTCAAAAAATGCCCAAGGCTATAGTCCATGGTTTTTTCCAAAAAATGGCCAAAAAATCATCCCAAATTTTTATTACATTTTCTGATACATATTGTTGTCCTGATGCTGTGTATCAAGTTTGAGCTGATTCTGACAAATATTTTTCAAGTTATACTTAATTAAAAGTCCTATGTCAATACATTATATATCTAGAAACTCTATTCATGTGTTTGGAAATAAGAATATTCATAAAATTAAATACTAAGTTTGGGTGTGCCTCCTTGTCTAATAATGTTAGCAGTTTTAGCTGTTGGATTGTTCCTATTGGGACTAGCATCAGGTGGTTCACCTAATGCTAATCTACCTCATATTGTCATGATGCTTGTTGATGACTGGGGCTGGGCTAATGTCGGATATCATCGGAATCCACCAACACGTGAAGTTGTTACACCAAATATTGATGGATTGGTTAAACAAGGTCTGGAACTCAATCAGCATTATGTCTATCAGGTTTGCTCTCCTTCTCGCTCATCATTAATCAGTGGAAGATTACCAATACATGTTAATGATTTGAATGTGGATCCAGATCATTATAATCCTGATGATCTAGTTTCAGGATATGCAGGTATTCCACGTAACATGACTGGTATTGCAGAGAAGATGAGAGGAGCTGGTTATGCTACACATCAAGTAGGCAAATGGGATGCTGGAATGGCAACACCAGACCACACACCAAAAGGACGAGGATTTGATACCTCATTTGGTTACTTTCATCATGCTAACGATTATTATAATGAAACAATTGGAGTTTGCAATAGAACTCCAATAGTTGATCTATGGGACACAGATAAACCTGCTCATGGTATCAATGGTACTGGACCTGATAATTATGAAGAAGGATTGTTTAAGGAGAGACTTCTTAATATTGTAAGCAAGCATGATCCTAGTACACCTCTCTTCCTGTATTATGCTCCACATATTGTGCATAAGCCTTTACAAGTTCCCGGATAAATACTTGAATAAATTTAGTTTTATTGA